TCATGGCAAAAGTGTCGCGAATACGCAGCCTGCCGCTGCTATTTATGATAATTGTTTTTCGGTTCATTAATTTATTGTGGGCACTGTTTGGCATGCGATCAACACAGAACTCCTCCGTCGCGAAGAGGCGGCCAATGCAGATAATTAATTACAGGCTGCGTTTAAATACGATTTCTGCTTTATTATTTGCTCATTTTAATATGCCTCATACACAGTCAGAAACTGGAAATCTTTATTATTCATTAGAGCATAAAAAGCTAACAAAATAAAAAAAAAAACCAATTTAATATTATTTCCTTTCTGATATAATATATGTAAGTTTTAAAATATATAATTTTCTTTTTAAATAAATTAGACTCTAACACTTATAGTATTATTTTATTATTATTTAGTCTTAAATAATCTTTGTATTTAAAATATCTTGACAATCGTTGGGTAAATTTTAAATTTGGATTTTTGATGAATTTGTAAGTACCCTGCAGGAAAAATGCGAACTAGTCTGAAAAACAACTAGTTATACAACTAATATAAAGCAACCGGAATTTGTCTGAATGCATTTGGACTACACAGGGTCTAGAAAATTTGTGCTAGTCGAAAACAAGATTAATACAAAACTAGTAAAAAATAAACTTGTTTTGGACTGGTACCTTTCTGACAAAAAAAACCTTAAAAATATTTAACTGGTAGAACAAATACATGTTAGGGTCTAGTTAAAAGGCAACTGGAATTTAACTAGTTGCAAATGAAACACATATGATCCAAAAACATAGCCTAGAGTGTAAATGTCTTGGGAAATTTAGCACTAAACAAATCAAACACTCGAGGCCCTCGGTTCAATCCCCAGTCTCTGTAAATTTTTTTTTTGTTTTTTGTTTGCTAGGTGATGCTTTAGTTTTATTTTAAACTTTGTTTAATCTGCCCGAGGCAATATATATGTAAAAAATCACTGTTTATGAATTATGTCACACTAAAATTCATAAACCTTGTTAGGGCATTTCAAAATGTGATGCATGGCTCAATCAGTTAGTGTGTCTACAAATCCAAAGGTCCCGGGTTCAAGTCCTAGAGAGGGCGACTTGCCTCAAAAAAAGTAAGTTTGTTTTAATTCCATTTAATTATCATTTACTGTATTTGATTACATAATAATTATCAGAAATTCTCTAAGGACCGCGCCTATTGATTGGATACTAAATTAGGAGAGCGTCAAGTTAGGCATCGTCAAGTACTAGTGAAATCCAATCACTTGATGGTTTAGAGATTAATTTTTAGTTTTTTCGTGAAAATATTTTTTTTAGTGTAGTTTAACAGCTGTAACCATAAATTGGTTAACAGTCACTAGAGCAAAACTAGTAGCAAACGGACTAGTTGTTTCCGACGACAAGCATATGAAAAATGGACCACTTCGTTACAAGGAAATGGACATAACTTGAACTAGTTAACCTTCTTGACCCAACTAGTATTTTAATAGTCCAAAACTGATTCCGTTTCCTGCAGGGTATGAATGAAAAAGTATGAAATTTGTAAGTAGAATAAGTAATAGAAAAGTTTTCAATTATAATTAAATAATTATTTATTAGCCTTTCATAGTGCTTTTGTAATTTGAATTATTTAATTATATTATTTGCTAATTAGTTTTCATTCTTATTCCGCCTGTTTTTCTCTCTGCACCCAGTTCATGATCTGGGCTATAGTCCCGCATAATTGTCACGCCGCATTTGTGAAATAATTCTTAAATAATTTCATCAATTACGTCGCCCAGCTGCACAGTGTCGGTCGCTTTGGCTGCCTTTGCTGTTTTTACTTATTTTTCCTGCTGCTCCTGCTGCCTTCGCTGCCATTTCAATTATGTTGATATTTATTTTCATATTTAATTTAACACGGGCGGCAAAAGGAGCGATAGAGAAGGAGCGGTTCGGGAAATGCAGAAAGAAACGGCGGCAGCAGCATTTGGAAAATCCATTTTACAGTAAAAACCGCATGCATTATTTAATTTTTAAGTGAAATCAATTACAAGCTCGTTGGCTATATAGCCAGAGGGGGCAGGGGCTGGGGGGCGTGGCAGGTCGGTTAAGGGGGCGGGGTGTCTGGTCTGGGCAGGGCTTTTGATGTTAAATGCCAGCCGCCGTCGGCGGTGCCATCGAGTGTTGTTGTTGTCGATGTTGCTGGTTGCTGGCTGATGGTGCAGCAAAATGCGTGCGTGGGGGCGACGGAAGTGCGCATAAATGCAATTGCAGTCGAATAAATAAATAAAAATATTTTGTGCCATTAAATTTCAATTAATAACAAGGCAAACACACACACGTGCGGCGCATCAGTCGCACCGTCGACCCGTTCGACTCTTTCGGTCTACAATATTAATACATTTTGGCAGCGGTGCGTGCATGGCGCGCTGATTGCCGCAAGCCCATGAAATTAAGTCACAAATTAATTAATTAATGCAATCAATACGTTGGACATTTGCATTGCTGCCGCTGCTGCTGCTGCTGCAATCGATGTCACTGCATGTGGGCAACATTGCAATATGCAATTTGCAATTACAATTATGCCTTGCCTGACTGCGACCAGCGGCAGCAGCAGCAGTAGTTTCTTGCACTCTAAATATAGTCTCAACTGGGCCATTAAGGTCGCCGGTTTTACACTGAGGCAATGCAAGCCATATAAGTCTGGCTTGGGATTTTATTATAATAATATATGCAGTTAAACGTGAGCAGTAATAACAAATAAAAATCTCAAGTGACTTCTTATCGGCTTCCCAAAATAAATACTTCTCTAAAAAAGGGGCCAATATTTCCTCAGATGTTTCTCCACAAGAACATTAAACGGTCAAGCTTTAATTTATGTCACAATTATAATAGTATGTAATTCTTAATAATATTCCTAGATGTGCTATATATTCTCACAATCAAAACTTAGCTGATCAGGTAGAGCTGACAACCTACCAAAACTTGGAACTCCTAAGAAGTCTTATTTAGTCAAAGGGTGTTGAAATGCTGAAATCTTTGAGTTACAAAAATATAACTAACCATAACCTTAGGTTTGCTAAAATACTGAAATTTATGTAAACCTCCTAAAAAACAAAGAGAAGAAAAATGCATTATAAATATAATTCGCAGATACTTAAAAAAACCAACATATTTCCGAGTGCACAAATTGCCTTCGCCCAAGTCTGGACTCTCTTCTCACACAATCAAACGCCCCAACAGGAGTCGAGCACGCCATGGCGAACATAATTTTTTAATGGACTTTTAATGTCTGTCGCTTGTGCGCGGGGGAAATGGGAAATGAATGAGCATGTGTGTGTGTGCAGGCGCCTTCCTTTCGTAAAGCTTTTTTCGGGGTCAGTTTTTGGGGCTGCCTGGGCACTATTAGCGACAGTTTGTGCCCGACATGTGTAAACCAGCGAGAGAGGTGGGCTTTCCCGGCCATTCGTGTGCCATGCTGTCAATTTATTAGTCGACGCCTCGCTTGGGCGGCAGTCAATTAGAGAGCAACAAGGCTCCGTTGTTTTTAAACTGCCAATAAGTTGGTATTATGATAGTTGCGGCTAATGGGTTCGAGTGGAAAACGAGTTTTTTGAAATGAGTGCTTGAGCTAAGCTCGGTTTGGCTTAGTCCGGGGTCTTGGAAAACTCGCAGCCAGGTGCTAAAGAAATCGAATCAACTTTGAGAAGGGGTTTCGTAATTAAAACTTAATTACTATATTTGTAGAGTGCCATTTGAGTCATACATCTACGAGTCAAAGGACCTCAAAGAGGGAAGAAATTTTTATTTTTAACGCCATTTAGTTTGGTTGGTAATTTCTTCAAAAACATGGCCAGGTGTCACTAAGTAAATGGCTAAAAATTGAAATTTTTCAATTTTGAGGTCTTTTTTCTATAAATCCTTTTGAAGGGTACCAATTTGTTAGCAAAATCGAAAATGACCATCGAAACACTCAATAAAATACTCTTTGTTTTTATAAAGAAACCCAAGTGCATGTATGGTGGTCGTATCCAAAGCAATCGAAGCGAAATAAATCCAGAATATAACACAGGTCAACGAAATACGGACTTTTTTTTGGCCCAAACCTGAAAGGATTTTAGCTGTAGATTACTACCCCACACTTAGAAACTTTCTATCACGTCACAGTTTTGAGAAATCCGTGGTGACCTGTCTAATTCAATTTCTAAAAAACCTTTTAATTAAAAACCTTTAGGGAAGGATGCTTTTATGAGATATACTTTTTCAACGAGAGGAAAAAACTCACATCAAGCCAATATTAGTTTTTGTCCTCTTGTTTTTGGGGACGGCAACCGGGACTTCTTATCCCAGGCGCAAAAGGATCTCAGCTAGGCCCTCCATAGCTTTATATCTTCGTAGCTTTTCATTCTTATAATAAGCTTTAATAAAATAAACTTGAACTTTGCACTGTTATTGTTGTTGAAACCTTGTTGTTGTTCTTTTTCTTGTTATTTCTGTTTTCTTGCTTCTTTTTCGAATTTTTTTCCTGTTTTTAAAAAGATTCCACAATTAAATTACTTTTCTCCTTCTTTTTTATTTTCAAACTTAAATTTGAATTTTAGAGTGACCAGAGAGTTTTGTGCCGCCTAAAAGTATGTGTAAAAAAGGGAATAATGTGAACCGGTTTTAATCCCAGTGGCGCCCCTACAGTACTTTTTGGGAAACGAACATTTACCCGATTGAGATGTTGTAGGTGGCGCTTGCTGTCCGTATAGATGGCGCTGACCGACGATGCCTGAGTAGGTGGCGCTGCTGATTACCGATTTCATCGGAGTGAATTCAAAGATGAAATAATTTGCACCTTGATTGAACATTTTCTGAAATAGTGTCTCTTTTTATTCAGATCAAAAGGAAAGGTCCAATTCCTTATTTTGCTTGGCTTACGATTGCAGAGCCAAAATAAAATGTTGTTGAGGGAGCGAAAGTTAGCAAAGAATTTTCCGAAGACCCCCATAAAAATACATATATAAAAAAATTCCCCAATAACAAATAGACATAATATTTGGTTTATATTTTTCGCATTTCCATAATATGCACTTTTATTGCGATTTGCTTTATGCATCGAATATTTGAGTTACTGCTCCTTTCGTACACTCGATTATAGATTTATGTGGTAGCGTATTTATAGACACATATAAAACTATAGTATATAGTATTGTATATATATATATATTGATCGGGGATCTTAGGGCACATCCATAAACTAATCGTAGTGATAATAATTCCGATTTTACACCGCACAATGGATACAATCATACTTTCTATAAAATCAACAGACACATAATCAGGTAATGCGGTGTCGATCAATCAATCAATCAATATCTGAAGCCAAATCAATGAGTGTATTTGGGGTTAGTACTTTAACTTAAATGTATTAAATTTGACTAGTTGAATTTGCTTTACACATTTTAAGGTTGCTTTTGCTGTTTTCTGTTTTCCCGAACATAGGTTTTAACATATTGCCAAGACTACAAACTAATTAACATTAAAGATTTGGAGTGCCGTAAACGTAGACGTAAACTTTAGCAAGAGAAATCGTTAAAGATATACTTTGTGATATTTACGTGTGTTGAGTATTTTGGATGTTAGATTGCTATTGTCGTACGGTAAACGTATGCGTATAAGTTAGGACCACGTATAAATATAATACAGTAAACTAAATAGTTAAGTCTATGTCGAAAACTAAATTAAGAAACCTACAAAGTGTATTTACAAGAATATATTCTCTCTGTTCTCGCTCCATCGCTTTGCGCAGGATGAAACTGAAGCTCATGTTTGTGGTCCGTGGGTTTAATTGGATTTTCTTGCGTAATCGTTGGGTTGTTCGAAGTGGGGGCTATCTTCATCCTCCGGCTATCATATATTTACGTATAAATGCGTCAGTTTTGCGACAGACAACGAATACAGCGAACATCCATCGAACGGATGCTTTGATCCTCCTTTTGTTTATATGGTAATTATTTAGACCTTGCTTTCGGGTCCATCGGCCACGTGTTTGAAGGCCAATCGAATGCGCGACAGGTAATGCGAGCATATGTGTCCGTAGTTTTTATTGTACCACTCCGGTGTCTTGCCCCTAAAAATAGGCAATTATTTGATTAATTTATATAAGCCAAAAACTCTTTGAATAAAATAAGAACTCACTTTACATCCACCCTGGCCAGATGCATAACCCTTGACCTTCCGCTGCCACAGGGCTCGATGAGATATCGTGAGGCGAGAACCACGCCCCTCACCGCCCCGAAAAGAGGCTTGGCCTTGGCATGATCGATCGAGGTCTCCACTATAACGCAGGCACCGCGCGGCAAATCGGTTTGCCAGGAACTGAAACGAAAAGTTGATGATTAAACTAAACTTTTTCATTATTTCTAGTTAATCTTTAACTTACCGCAGTACACAAAAGTCCGTGGTCAGCTGGCCGTCCAAAGCATACTGGTAGATCTCCGTGCGATCGTCCAGTTTCTTGACCGTCTGACATTGCAGCAAATTCGTGTCCCACGAGGCTCGCTGCTTGATCACGAACTCAAGGACCTCCCGTGGTGGTCCTTCGATCTCCGTGGTGCAGCGCCAAAGTCTCAACGGATGGCCATCGCCCACCTTCTTGTAGGCAATGTCCACATTGCTGTCATTCAGCGAGTTAATGCTAAACCAGCCGCGGGTTCTGAAAGGGATTAGACAATAAGTTAAAATTAATAAATAAATAGATTAAACGATAAAATAATTCATCTACTTTGAAAAGTGGGCCCTATGACGTATATAAAAGTGTCATAACGCCCCCAGATAGTAACAAGAGAGAACGCTATAGTCGGGTTGTTGTCCCGACTATCTAATACCCGTCACTCAGCTAAAGGGAGTGCGAACGCTGTGTCGGGTTGGTGTCCCGACTAATAATCGTAACTCAGCTAAAGGGAGTGCGAAGGAGATAGATATATGTTGACAATTTATAAAGCGTATAACTTTTTAATGAATGGTCCGATTTGAAAAATGTCTTCTACATTTCGATAGGTATAAATATACACAACAAAATTGCATTTATACTTCTCGGAAATCTTTAAAGATGTGGCGCAGGACCTATTTTAAAATCGTTAGTGGGCGATTGTGGGCGTTAGAGGGGGCGTGGCGCTCGGCTAAAATAAACTTGCGCTGCGTAGGAAGCCAATGAATATGTGTGGGAAATCTCAACCTTCTAGCTTTTGTAGTTTCTGAGATCTCAGCGTTCATACAGACGGACAGACAGACAGACGGACAGACGGACAGACGGACATGGCTAGATCGACTCGGCTAGTTACCCTGATCAAGAATATATATACTTTATGGGGTCGGAAACGCTTCCTTCTAGCTGTTACATACTTTTGCAGGAATCTAGTATACCCTTTTACTCTACGAGTAACGGGTATAAATATTAAATACATGCACCCGTTTCATTTGACTAATTTGTTTGCACCATTACTTAACCTTTTAATTAGCAGTAATAACCAGTACTTTTTGAGCTACTTACTTTTCACGACCCTCCTTAATGGTGGCACTGGTGCACTCATATAGATATCCCCGCCAGTTGTGGAACTGCATTCCCTCGCCCAGAGCCTCCAGAGGCAGGGGCTTCGACTCCTCCATGTAGCTAAAGTTGCACTTGCTCAGCTTCTCCTTGGCGGCCGTGTAGATCTGCTTGTAGTGCTCAATCATGAAGGAGAGGCACTCGTGGGAGGCCTTCGCCTCCGCCAGCTCCTTCATGTCCGGCATTCCGGATCCCTTGCCCTTGCGACGCGGCGAGGCGGAAACGGAAGCGGAACCGGTCGAAATGGACGAGTGGAAAATGGATTGGGCCAGGCACACGCCCAGATTGTTGCTGGTCATTTGGTTCTGCTGCGAGTTGGCCGCCACAATGGTGAGGAATTCGAGCAGCACGTGCAGGATTTCGCGGTTCTCATCGGGCAGCAGGAGCACAGCACACTGCACAGCATCCAGACGCACTTCAGCCGGGAGATCTAAGGATTAAATAAATTTAAATAAGTAAATAAAGATTTAGTAACTTCTTAAAAATATAGAAGACTTCTATAAAACTTAAAGCCTATGAACATTTAATTAAATATTTAAATCAATTGAGAATGGAGTTTACAAAAAAAAAATTTGTTTCGATTATACGTATAAAGATAATAATTGAGAGGATAATTCTTTGTCGGATAAATCGACTTCTATATTTTGGCTTGTTTCGTAATATAAAGGATACTTTACAATATTTTAAAAATCCTGTTAATATTGTCTTTTAAAAATATTTTTAATTCAAACATACATTTTTTTTTTTTTTAATTATATACTTACGTTGAAAGATTGCCACAAAGGTCTCGGACATCTTGGTGGTCAGCAGAGATTCGGGCAGCTCGCGGAAATACTGTTTCAGCATGTCGGCCACATCGTAGGCCTGTTGCAGATCGAAGACGTCCATGCACTCGGCGGTGGTGTCGGTGACTTCGATTTGTTCGCGCAGCTTCATGATCCGCGACTTTCCTCCGCTCTTCCGGAAGATTCCCACCTGGTCGAGGGCGTTCAGCTGAAGCCAGCGCAGAGCAGCTCGCACGGCCATCGGCAGGGTCTGACCGCTGCGCTGGAGGATCATGAGGAGCGGCACACCGAACACCTTCTTGTCCTTGTAGTCCGGCATCTTGATCTTCTTGATGAACTTGGGCAGTTCCCAGTTCCAGCCCGACCGATGCGACGGGCAGTAGCGCTCCATGTGGCCGGTCAAAGTGACCAGGGCCAGTTTTCGGATTATCTGCAGCTGACCCGCCGACATGGCGGCGAAGGGCATTCCACCGGCATCCTCCTGCAGTGGCTCGATTTTCTTGGAGAAGCACTTGCGGAATATCATATTGGGGCGCTCCTCCATCTGGAAGCTGTGCCAGCGGACCACCGGCTGTCGCTTGGACCCGCCGTTTGTGGATCCGCCAGCCTGATCCTCCTCGTTCTTCGGCTCCTTGCGCGAAGTGCTGCGCGAACGGAAAGATGACGAACGGAAGCCGTCGCGCTTCTTGGGATCCTTGCCCAAATTCAGGGAGCCGCCGCGGGTGAGTTTCTTGACCTTCACCTCTGTGGTATTGGAATTGGCGTCCTTGATCAGCAGCTTGCGTCCCTGATGGCACTCGGAATCCGAGTGGGCACCGATATCATCGACCTTTCCCGTGCGCTGCAGGAACCTGCGAGCCTTGGAGGGTTTCCTTAGCGACAACTTGCCGCCCGTCGACGATTCCTGGCTGTCGCTGTAGTAGGACGAGGAGTCATCGGACTTGCCCTCCTTCAGCTGCGACATCGGGCTGGAGAAGAAGTGCAGCGGGCTGGTTCGCATCGAGCGCGGCGTGGTGGGCGTCCTCTTCGGGCTGGAGCGATTGGGACTCAGGAAGTTGTCGCTGTGACTGGGCACCTTGAGGTCGTTGCCAAAGAACGGCGCCTTGGGGAATGTGTGCATGGGGCTGAGGGCCGAGGGTGAGGGCGGGGTGGAATATACGGCATCGGGTTTGCGCAAACTGCTCCGCTGGCCGAATTGCGAGAGATCCAGCACTGTCGGTCCACTGATCACCACATTCTCGCGATTCTGTCGCTTGCGACGTCGCGACTTGATGGACTCCACCCTCCTCAGCAGTGCCTTGGCCTGATCCTTGATCCGCTCGCTGCCACTTCTCCTCAGCCGTCCGCCATCGGAGCCCTCGCCCAGGGAGGAGCCATCGGGGGCCACTCCACTGGCCTTGCTGCAGCCGGGAATCACCAGCGTTATACCGGCTCCATCCTCCTCGAAGCGATCCGGACTCGACTCCTTCGACGAACTCTCCGTCTTCTCCACGTTCAGGCTCAGGAGTCCCGGCGGCGGCAGCTCCAGGCCCATCTCCCCGATCCGCGACCAGCGGCGAATGTGCGGTTGGAATGTCCAGTGCTCACTCAGAGCGAAGTTCTCATCATCCGATTCCTCCTTTTGCTGAAGGATATATATTAAGTTAAATTTAAGATCATTGATAAAGATATTTATGTTGGTTAAAGGTTTTTAAAAATAATTAGTATTTAATTTATATAAGTTAATAAACAGATTATTTAAATAAATTTAAGTTTAGTTTAAGTAATTATTTTCTCCGAAATAACGCCTAATTATTTACTCGTATTAATTTTTGAAAAATTATAGTTAATTCCTAAACTATTTTAGGCTCAAAAAGAATATCCTATTTGGTATGATTTTATATCTGGTCAAATTTTACTTATTTTTTTAATTTTCCATTTGTTTCTTAGGGTTTTTATGACCTTACTTTGTAAAAGTTAATATTTTGTTTTTTTTTTTTTTAATTTTTTTTATTTATTTATTTTTTTTATTTATTATTTTTTATTTTTATTTTTTTTTTTATTCAAACAATACAACTAATTTATCTTACCTGTGGTGTTTGTGGCTTGTGAGACTGGTCCAGCCGCATGGTGGCACAACGATTGAGGACGCAGAGTCGGCGGTAGAGGGACTGCAGCTGATCGTTCTCGAGATTGGTGTGATCTTTGGCTACATTGTTCAGATCGATCGGGAACTGATGATCTGCAATGGGAAATGGATGTGTGTGTTCTTTGAAAAGGACTTCTTTTAGCTATGAGTATTAAGTTTTTGCGACCGCACGCCTCGACGACGCGTGAAATTCTAATTGAGAAACCTGAAAAGTCGAACGCCCATGGCGCCAGCGATCATTAAACGGGTACCGAGTCGGGTTGCTTCGGTCTATACGATATATGGTAGTCTGCCATCGGGCAGCTGAATTTTCACAGCGTTTTTCCACATATTTGCGTGGCCAATTCGCACGTAGGAAATCAAGTTCCAAGGCGACCGCCGCCTCGTCCACATAAAGCAACGAAAAAAAATATAGAAAAAATCCAGAAAAGAAAAGATTATACTCAGACGTTTACACATGTCGCGACGCGTCGCACAGATACGAATAAAGCAGCGATACTGCAGATACAGATACATTTGCATCTGCAGCTGCAGATAGTACTGCTCGACATCCGTAGGATGCACTGGGTGCCTGATGCCTGGAAAAGCTGCATTGTTTGCACAAATATTGTTAGTGTTACCACAATATTTTGTTCTTCTTGCAAAGCCATTCATGGTTTGTTGAACTTTCGGCTCGAAAGTGACGCCCGACTCGTTTCTTTCTCTCCTTTCACGCTGGAAGCTTTTTATAGTTTTGTTTACGCTCCTCCAGCGCCATTCTTTCCTTACTCTTGGCCCTGCTGCGTATTTATAAGGCCGTTTCGTCGGATGCTCCTCTTTAAACAGTCAAACAGTCAAGTGTTGTGTGTTTAATTTCTAATCGAAAGCACTGGCCGTGGAGTAAACAAATTGGGGAAGTGTGCCAGTGCCACCAAGTGTTCGAAAACCCATCGGGAGTTACGAATTAGTACAGTTCGCTGACGTCAGAAAGAGCTTATTTGGGAAGTCGGTGTAATTCTTAGCCCCTGTGTTTTTTTCCCCGACTTTTCACAGTTTACACGAGAACGAATTCATTTATTGGGCCAATTATATGATTAATCTTTTTTCTCAGCCAATGACGCAGACTGCAGTGAAATTCGAATGTAATTAGGAGCAATTTATGGCTGTTTTGGGGAAAAGGCAGAGGCAATTAGCCTGGAATCTAAATTGGGATGCAGATTTCATTCGAATATAGAACTTTATGGGGTCTCCACGAAACGATTATTGTTTAGACTTTGGCTGATATTTCAATAAAGACTTTACAGGGAAGCAATTAACAAAAATCTATAATAATATTTGCTTATGTAACAAAAGTAAATAAATTTTGGAAGATTTTAAAAATTGAATAAAGCTGGGAAACGCTGCTGGAAATATGTGATAACTTATGGGATCACCACTCCTCAAGTTCCGTGTCTTGTCGTTTGGCTCCCAGGGAAACCGGTTCTTTTGGACCAACAAATCGATTGCCATGGCAGGCCTCATGAGCTCTTATGGCCCTCTTAAGCACTCCCATATGATCCTGGCCTGGCGCAGGTCACACCCTCGAATTAAGTCTGCCACTTTCGGTGAGTAATGTGAGTGCAAGAAACGAACAAAAGGCAAACAAAGGCAGGGGAAAATGCTCCATCCTCATTTCTTATTACTTTTTTTTTGTCCTGGGTCCCTGGGCAAATTAACAGTCGCTTACAAACGGAACACCTCCTTTCAGCGGGCAGCACAAGTCCCAATACCCCAAGCCAAACGAAATGACAGAGCAGCGAGGAACTTACACACCTACGGCATTTTAATTTGCAGAGCCCAAAACCAAAGCTCAAGAAACCCAAAGAATCCACCAAATGCCGTGGAAATTTGAGCAGCAATCTGCGCATGCGCCGCTGCCTTGTTTACACGAAACTCATTAAAATACGCATTTATCATGTTGTCCCCGGTCAGGGAGAGATGGTCATGCAGATGGGTTCGGAGTTGGGATTGCGAAAAGGATTGGGATTGGAATTGAAGCCTGGTCCTGGAAGCCTGGGTTGGGCTCCAGTTTAAATGTGCGCACAAATTATTCCAAAAGACGGAAACTTAAGTTTCGGCTTCTATCACTCAAGAAAAATATGAAATAATGAAATCTATTAAAAATAGCTTTTCAGTATGTGATCGTAATGATATACTTATTTAATATATGTATTGAAATTAAATGAAATATTAGCGAAGAAACTTTAATTCATTTAGAGTTATATATAAGAGGCACCACTATTTCTTCTCAGTGCACGTTCTGGTCTGGAATTTATGCAATACAATTCGCATATTTCAAGGTCGGCGACAGGGCGCCTGCGGACATGCCCAAATTGCAGGCTCTCCATTTCAGATTCACTTTTTGCCCCTCGCGTTTTATTCTTTAACTGGCTTTTCGGTCATAATTCACGTGAAGTCGGCGAACTTTTTGGGCTTAAGAATGTACTTTTCGGGTTTGTTTGTTTGAATCTCTGCAGATCCGCGCGGCTCATCAATCTGCGAGGCCTCCAGGCGTTAAATGCGTTGCGACAAATGCGAAAGAGTAGGGTCGCCTTCGCTTGCGATTAAGGAAATCAAATAAATATGCAGCTTGCGCAGGGTTCAATGAACTGATACTAACATTTTGGCTTGAGGTTGTAGTTTGGGTAGCCACTCTTCAAAGGGCAAAGAACTTTTTCTCAAAAAAAAAAAAAACAAGCCGAAACCATTTTAATTTTCGGTTCTGTGCGGAGTTTTTTATACGAAGGTGGTCCTCATAAATTCTTTTGGCCTGCGTGTCCTTTAGCCTTTTATTATATTTTATCTGAGTTTGGCGGTTTCGCGAGTTTTTGCAGGCCTCTCAGGTTGTTTCCTCTGTTTTTTGTGCGTTCCTTTGGGTTAAATTCTTAAGATTGCCCTGATCTGGTAGGTAGGCGTTGCCGGGCTTTCGTTTTCGCTTGAAAGGACTTGGATAGAATCGAATCGGATGGGTTCGGATCGGATCCAGGGATCCATTCAGCCTAATTGTTGTCGCGGTTTGTGCCGCGTGTTTGGGATATCAAATTCACTCTTTGTCTGCGGCTGGTGTTGAAATCTTTAGACATCGTCGTGAGGCGGCACTTAAATCGTTCTCGAATGTTGCCACGTCATAAATGTTTTGTCTTTGGCCTTTATTTTTTCTCCTGCCCTGCGACTTGGGGCAGCGGCGAAAGTGAAAGTTCGTGTAATACAATTAATAAACTGCCACTCGGAGAGCGTTAAACACACAAGACTAAATGGCGGGCATGTTGGTCAAGTGGCCCGGTCGCCGTTTCTGCTGCTGCTGCTGCGTCACTGGCGATGACGAGACCATCAATTACCGACCACCAGCCTGCCACGCCCCCAGGGCAAAAGCATGCTGACACGACATGCACTGAAACAAAATTGGGCCTTTGGAAGAGAACTAGAATTTCTTGAGTTGCGGAATGGGAATACTGTATTTTTTCCTTTTTTGAAATTCTATTTTTCTATGTTTTTGAATAATTTTAAATATTTTCGATAAGAAAATCCAATAAAATGCAAGTTGGGGGGAGTGGGGGAATTTCTCACATTTTTTAAAAACTTTTTTTTTTCCTTTTAAAAAAAAAAAAAAAATTTATTTTTTTTTTTTGAAAGGGGGAAAAAAAAAAAAAAAAAAAAAAAAAAATTTTTTAAAAAAAAAGTGGAAAAAAAAAAAAAAAAAAAAAAAAAAAAAAAAAAAAAGGAAAAAAACCAAAAAAAAAGGGAAAAAAAAAAAAAAAAAAAAAAAAAAAAAAAAAAAAAAAAAAAAAAAAAAAAAAAAAAAAAAAAAAAAAATTTTTTTAATATATATTTTTTTTGTGGGGGTGGTGGTTTTTTTGTAACAAAAAAAAAAAAAAAAAAAAAAAAAAAAAAAAAAAAAAAAAAAAAAAAAAAAAAGGGAGGGGGAAAAAAAACAAAAAAAAAAAAAAAAAAAAAAAAAAAAAAAAAAAAAAAAGGAAAAAAAAAAAAAAAAAAAAAAAAAAAAAAAAAAAAAAAAAAAAAAAAAAAAAAAAAAAAAAAAAAAAAAAATTAAAAAAAAAAAAAAAAAAAAAAAAAAAAAAAAAAAAAAAAAAAAAAAAAAAAAAAAAAATTATTGTTTAGGCGACCTTTTGGATGAAATCAAACAAATGGTTTGGCTGGCTCGAGGTCTGTAAAACAAATAATAATCCTGAAGTATATTACGCCCAATTGATGTAACCCAACTATTACCAAAGTTCTTTTAAATTCTTTAGTTGCGAAATAAGAATTTTGAAAAACTGTATTTTTACCTTTTTTCGAGTTGTATTTTATGTTGTATGCTATGTTTTTGAATAATTTTAAATATTTTTGATATGAAAATCCATAAAAATGCAAGTACTGTAAAAAAATAATATTCCTCAAATATATTACTTCAAATTGGTTTAACGCAACCACTTTCTACCAAAGTTCTTCTTCTCCTTTTTTTCTACAATTTTTTCTTACAGTGCAGCGCAAAACGGAAGTGCGTAGTAGGGGCAATTTGGGGTCGTGTTTCGCACTTACCTTCGTACATCTGTGCATATTGCGGAAAACCTGCAGCTCGCAGCCATTTGCATGCCTCCACGGCTTCGATTTCTGCAAAAGAGAGAGAGGGGAAAAGGCCAGGATGAATATGCGTTTCCATATTGCGTATACGCAGCCGAGGCAGCGAATGAAATTAATTGTAATTAAGTTGCCGAGCGAATCCTCTGCGCGCCACCCAACCAAATTCAATCCGGCCGGACTGCAAAACCAATTAACCAGCGGCCTGGTCAAGAAGCCGTCACCAAAGTCTGGCCATTGTCCACGGGATTTCAGGGTTTTCAGGGTCACTTGATGGATTACGTTGTAAACCGACCAAATGCAGTTGACGGCTTAAAATTATGTGGCTGCGGTCGGTCATGGTCTTAAATTATATTTTTCTTTCGACTTCACCTTGAGTTAAAGTGACATGAAAGTAAAAGTTTCAAAGAAATGGGATGAAGACGGATTTGGCGAGCTCAGAGGGATGAAATTGCTTATTTATGGCGGGCTAATTTGAGACAAGCAGACAAAGAACGCATTGAACCGCAGATAAGAAATGTAAGTCATACTTTTTTACGAGTCTAGAACCGCAATGAATTCAAATCGAATTCCATCCAGTTGGTCTGAAACAAAGGAAGCCAAAGGCACTTGGCCTCAGCTCAGCTATTTTAAATGCTAATCTGCTTTGCTTTTGCTTTATATATGTTTTTTTTTTGTTTTTTGCTTGGCTCAATTCGAGTAACAGGATCTGGCGACAGAGCTATTGATTTTTAATCAGCCTGAGCGACAACATGAAACAGTTTCCGGCTGCTTACTGCCAGCAGCAAAATATGAACCTATGTGGAAAACGGGGGGTTGTTGCTGAGTGAATTATTATTGAGTTTTGCAAGCGATTAACTTGCACGAGGATACCAATACCGATGGAGCGAAAGTGGGGGCACCACCTGTCCAGGTTTCCTTCCCCCACTGTCTCTGCAGTTATTTATAAACGAGAGCAACCCCTTGGACATCGATTTATGCTGCTGGCACTCCGACAGTTGCTGGCCGGACGCATGACCCGCTTCCAGCGGATCTTGGCAGCGGGCCAGGGCCCCAGTGCTTTGGATTGGAGCGACGGGCCGGTTGACCTGACCCAAGGAATTACAGGCAACGGGGCAAAGTATTAGATTATGTATGCAAATTGCGGGCGAAAATAGCACAGCATATGGGATTGCATGTCTACGAATAAGGACGATTACCCCATCAACTTGTGGGTTTTCAAATTGTATTCGAATTGTATAATAAATAAAAAATAGTTCTATTGGCTCTGACGTCAATGAAAAATTATACTAAAAAATAGTAGCATATTAATTTTTAAAGGAATAATTTAAAAATTAAATATATATTTATTAGTTAAATATTAAAATTAACAATTTGTTTTGAAAGAAAGTCTTTTTTTCAAGCCTGCGCTTTATTTTCGCACTTGTTTGCCATTAAGGTGTGCTTTAAATATAATTACTATCCCGCTTTAATTATCCCGCAATTGGCAACTTTTGCATTGGCTGTGTTATTTCTCTGTAAATGCCACTTGAGAGTGGTATAAATTGCGCATACGCCACGTTGACGTTGCAGGCGCAAACTCATCTAAAAGCCATTTAAAGCGAGTAAAACAATGTGCAGGTGTGTGTGTGTGGGTGTGCAAAAGGCTCACTCACAGCTTATTGCGTCAGGTTCAATATTTGTTCTTGTATACCCACACACACACTCATACACACACAGGGACAGTACCGCCCAGTTGTTGTCCTTATTGTCCTTTACTGTCCCATTTCCCCCCGCCCAGACCCCCCTCGCCTTTTAAAGCATTTCCAAACAAGCAACGCGTAAATTCATGAACTTCACCTGCGCTCAGGATAATAATTATTCTGATGGACCCGAACATTGTGTGTGTGGACCGGCGTTTGGGGGCGTTTGGAACATGAGACGATGCTGATCATCGGGGCTTCCACAATGTGCCGTTCTGACCTTAAGGCTAATTAAAAAATATATAAAATGCCAAGCCGCCCGCCTTCCGCGGGGGTTGCTTAAAACAAAAACACCTTTTTTCCTGTCTTGCGCATTCTCTGAACTCTGCTCTTTAAAATTGCCGATGATTATCTAAGTGCTATTGAATTTCATAAAATAATCTTGAACAATTTCCTAGAAGACAAAATAATGAGTTGTTTAAGGAACCAAGGGACAGTTAAAAAGTAAACTACAATTTTTGAATTGCAATGCAAAAACGTTGCTACATTCAAAAAAATTTTCAACTCGGACCATTAATTAAAATGTTATGAGCAAGTAATAAAATTTTGCGCTAGGTGGCGCTGTAATGCTATTTTGTTATCCTGCTCGAAATCTGCCGCATTACTGATTTTATATTCGCATCTTCCTCGCACTCGAGTATCTGACAATAACCGACTACCCGTTCTCAATTGATTAAAATGATTTTAAAGTAAAAGAAATTTATGAGTCGTCCGATTTTAAAGACTTTATTTCCCATTGAAATGAAGCCTTTAGAAATTTTGCCATTTTTCTTTCTCTTCAATTTTCCTCTCTATTTATAAATGGGTTAGCTAAGCTTGTCTTTGTCTCCATGGTTTCAGCATTTTGCATTCATAATATTGTCTTTGCCTGACCTGGGGATTAATCGAATCCCCCTTTGCTCCGGCACAGTTTAAGCTTGTTGTTCACTAAATTTGTTTAAATTTTCAATTAAAATTTGCATTGATTTTCGAGAGCCGCCCACAAAGACCACCGCAATGGGTAGAAGTCAAAGCAGCTTGCTGTTTCTGGTTTCTGATTTCTGGTTTTTGTGGAGCAGAGGAGAGGAAAGGAAAGTGTCAATGAAAGCAAAGTTCCTAACACAATTGCCGTAGATTTTATCCTTCGCCTGGAAAATGCTGCTCGTTGTGTGGGTGTGTGTCAGTGACACGCATTTCCACTCGATTGTCTGCGTGCGAGTGTGCTCCAGAAAAATGCAGCCGAGCAGAGAGAGATGACATTGTATGCGGATGACAGACAACAGCGTTCACCGAGTTGGTTATGCAAAGGATTTGGCCTCTATGGGCTGCGTTTCCATAACTGCCGGGCCTTTGTTACGCACGGCTAAAACTTTAAGCTGGCTTAATATAATTAAATGGCCCAAACACAAATGTGTGCGCCATGCTGTAAAAGCTTTGGCCTTAGCATTCTAGATTGTAAATCGATTTCGGCTGACACTAATTGCCAGCTAATTCAATTGCCACGGGCTGGCCGAAACATTATTCAGCAATTTCATTAATTTCCCGCTAAACGGTTTCATATGCCAATTATGCTGCCATATAAACAGTAAATTGCATCGCCCCAGGAGCCAGAAACAATGCAATTTTACAGCCAGTGCCCCCTGGCAGATTCAAATGAACCGAGTACGTTCGTACTTCTCATTAGATAAATAATTGTCGTAGGTGTCGTGGCATTAATTAATGGCCAATGGCCATTGGCAAGGCAGGCTGCGCGGATGTTTTATTGTCTGCCATCGCATTCAAATGCCAGGCGGAACATAAATTTGCAGTCACCTTGTTGGTAAGCCATCAAAGAGAACGCTGGCAAAAGTAGATTATTAATTATAAATTGCAACCCAGAAATAGCCATGCTCAGTTGAACTTGTAATTTTCAGTTTCGTTTCCGAAATAGAGTTGTTGGGCCAGGCCAGGCGAACATAAATAGACATGTGCACACTCCTTTCCTCTCCACTGGGCACACAAAAGCCTGTTGCCAGTTGCCTGTTGCCTGGCAAAAGGATAGAGCTATTTATAAGGTTTCTGGCCCATAAGTGTGTGGCAGATGCTTCTTCCCTTCTAGCCAACTCCCTTTTTCGGCCTGCAACAAGTGGCGAGGCACGTCAGTTTAATTCGCTGTGAACTCAGCGATGGGTGGAGCTATGTTGAAAATTTTAAAAATAAATATAATTTTTTTTTATAATATTAAATAATAATTTTTTAAAAAAAAAAAAAAAAAAAAAAAATTATAATTTTTTTAAAAAATATTTTTATAAAAAATAAAAAAAAATTTAATAAAAAAAATTATTATTAAAAAAATATTTTATTTATTAATTTTATTTTTTTTTTTTTAATAAAAAAAAAATTTAAAAAAAAAAATTAAAAAAAAATTTTTTTTTTTTTTAATAAAAAAAAAAAAAAAAAAAAAAATTTTTAATATTTTTTTTTTTTATAAAACTATTTGAAAAAATTTTTTTGTACTTAAATTTACGACGAGGGCCTTTCCCTTTTTCTTTTTTTTTAAAAAAAAATTTTTTTTTTTTTTTTTTAAATTTTTTTTTTTTAAAAAAAAAAACCCCCCCCCCCCCCCTTTTTTTTTTTTTTTTTTTTTTTAAAAAAAAAAAAAAAAAAAAAAAAAAAAAATTTTTTTTTTTTTTTTTATTTTTTTTAAAAAAAAAAAAAATAAAAAAAAAAAAAAAAAAAAAAAAAAAAAAATTAAAAATAAAAAAAAAAAAAAAAAAAAAAAAAAAAAAATAAAAAAATCACTTCGCCTGCGGCAGCCATTTTGAGCCCTCAATGTAATTAGGGGCCAAGTACCAAGGAGCCCCTTGGGAATTCTTCGGCCAAATATAACAGATCATTGAGCTTTTTAATGTGTTTTTAATGTCAGCGCATTATATGCGGCATATTTCCTGCTGAGCGGCTGCCTTTCGCACACAATAAAAATAACCGAAATTCGCATTCGCAAGAAAAATAATCCAACAATAACAGAATAAAACAAACAAAAATAAAAACAAAACAAAGCGGCAACGAGAATGGAAAGTTTATGCATTCTTATAACCCAAAAATGGCCGAGGAAAATTAAATGAAATTAAAGAGCCGAAAAGGCCAGTGGCTTACAGGTGGTTCGTTATGGGAATTATCCCTAAGGGAACGCCAAACCCGAAATAAAGAACAAGGAAATTGAAAAACCCTGTCATAAATATGCTTTTTCAATGGCCCATTCGATTTTGTTTATTTTGTTTATATATATTTTTTGGAGGCACGAACCATGGAGGCAGGTATGAGCTATAATTAAAACAATTTCCCGCCTTTTTTACTCGTTTGCGAATATACATATTAATTGTATAATAATTTTTCCCCATTTATTACTACACGCAAACAATTTTCTTTATTTAAATGAATGGCTTTGCTTGACTGGCGCGCAATTTCACTAGAGTGTAAAGAAAACGGCGAAACCGGTGGCTGATGATGATGATTATGATGGTCAGTGGTGGAATGTAGATATCTACATAACTCTGGGACATTGACTGACTGACTGACTGGGTGACTGGATAACTGGACGACTGGATGATTGACTGACTGACAGAATGCTAGTGACAGAGAGGGTGGATCACTTGTTGCAGTTCCTCTGGCCATATTGATACACATATTCCCAAACTAGCGCCGCGAACAATTCGATTTAAATGCGAGGCGTCGACTGATAAGTACAAGCTGTGCACTGGAAATAGCCATGCCCCGCATTCCCATTACCAAAAATAAACGGCCAAAAGAGGGAGGGGGCTCGGATCCCCTTGTGGGGTGCCGAAAAGCCATAAACAGCCAATTGCTGGCGGTGAGAGTGGCGCGCGCGCATTCCAAGCCACCGAAAACACAATGATCCAGACACGCATATTTCCATAATTGTAAACAAAGTATTTAATAATTTGCCAGTGGCCAGCGGGAAAAAACAAATTTGCCCTTGAAGCAGGGCTACACTGGGAGAAACTGTTTCATAACTTGGTTAAATAAATCCTTAGTGGATTAAATCCTACACAATAAACCAAAAATGATCCTAAAACGAGGAGGTTTGCTAGGATTAGATCTACAGAAACTAGGTAATAATTTGTCATTTATATCTATTGAATTAGGAGCTAATGTATTTGTTTAAATATTATATATACAAAATCGTTTAAAAAATATTACAAAATTAAATTGAAGAATAAATTGCATTTAATTTAATCTCCCTTTATTATAAATTCTCCGAAAATATAATTATTTATATTTATTTCTTAGTATTTCCTTAGTGCGCTGACCCATGCTCACCTGCAATCTTGCGTTCGCGCATTTTCCGCCATAATGCCTCGGCCTTGCGCTTGGGCCAGTTCTCGAACTTCTGCGAGAAGCTCCTGAAGAACTTGTACTCGCGTATGGTGATGGACATGCGGCGTTGCATATTGGCCAGTTTGGGCAGCGCCGTCTTGAAAAGCACTCACAAATGCGGTTTATCCGATGGAAAAGGATTAACTAATTTTCCGCCCGCAGCGGATCTCTTAAATTGTTTACAAAAAAATTAAAATACACCCCATTTCAAGCACACAATGCACTTTTAAATTCGAGCATTTCCATCCACTTCGTTTTAAAGCTATTTATTTTGATTTGATATTTATTTTGATTTAGACTTTAAGTCGGCGGCGTCGACGCGCTCCACCCGAGTTTTCCACTCGCTGCGGCCACGAAAATCGACAACCGTGCACGGCGCCTGTAAGAGCACTAATGAATTTGCAACGCGCTCGTTTCCCTATCAGAAAATGGCGAGCCGACCGTACGAATCGTCCGCCCGAAGCATCGAAGGCAACCGAACGGGGCGAACACGGGGCGTATGAACAACGGGGCGTATAAGCAACATGGATGTTCTGTTGCCGCTGCCGCTGCCGTTCTTCTCGTACTTCTTCTTCAAGGGCCAAAAGGCATTGTTCGCCGAAATAGGCAGCAGAAAGGGCCACTTCCTGGCCCATGTTGCTGAAGCGCAGAGTAGAGAGTTATCGGCGCCACAATCGCTTATTATTATTTTCTGTGGCTAGTTGGCCAGGGCCACGGGCGAACAAATAAATAAATAAATGAATAACTGTCATGTTAATGATGCTTATTTCATTTCCATGTTCCATGTTCGCCAAAAGGACTCACTGCGAGGAGGCAGGGCGATGTCAGCTTATGTTTCAGTTGTTTTACTCGCTTTTCTTCTTTGTTTTATGAGGCATTCATTAAAATTTATACGTTGGCATGTGAAAGTTTCAAGACACCGACAACCGCACCTGTTGCTCTACTGAAAGCATTGGGCGGCGAAGGCGGGGTGTGGGTGTGGGCGTGGCCGTGTGCTTTGTGCACAGTTGGTTTGGCACAGTTTTTTTTTTTATTATATATTATAGTTGTGTGTGCTCGAGTGTGCTCAAGGTTAAGCATTTGCTTTTGCTTTTGCTTGGTTTTATGATTTATGGAGAGTTGAATAAATGGTATTATTGTGTCTGGAGAAGCTTTGATGATACAGCCGCACATTTGTTTGATATCACCATTGAGACCTGGCTATTCAGAACGATTCTAATCGTTGAAGTGCAAGACTATTGTATTCACACAGCTGCAGTTCGTTTGTTTAAGGATCACGTTTAAGCGTCGCATGTTGCACTGACGAACAAACCCAACTTGCCTTTTGTTGGAATCGATTAATTGGATAAACAGGAAAATTATGAGCAGAAATCATTGGCAAGTCACTCGTGCTCATTACTTCTCATTAATCTACTCCCACTTTTGTATTTATACTTTGGGGCGTGTCTTGGTGCGGAAGACGGAACACGACATGGACACATGCTCGCATATATTTCCCGCCGACGATGCGCAGATATATACCCAAAGAATAAAATATAAATGCGGGTAATTTGTACTTGTGCAATATTAGATATAAATCTTGATGTATGTTAATCTTTTCAATAAAGTAAACAACGACGGAGCCGGCTTCCGTTGGGAAACCACAATAAGCTGGTATAGGTGGAGGTGGCTCTCCTTAAAGCCTGTCATTATTGACAACGGGGCGTATGAGCGATGCAATGGCACACATAAAATTGGCAATATAAATACGCGTAAGTATACAAGATAAACCGGCCGAAGGCCGCGACCTTTCCAGAGGGCACGTTCTGGTCGAGCGAAAACGTCACTGTAATGACGTCAGTGTGCGAGGAAATGGCAGGCAAACACTCGGATAATGGTCATAAAATGACCATCTCTCGCTCTCTTATTTTGCCCACTTTTCCCGTTACCATCCCCGTTTTCCCGTTTCCCCGCTGACGTCATTGGCCGAGATTGCTCCAACCTGCTTTGTATGTGCATAATTCGTTGGGGGCAGTCAGGCTGCAAAAACGAAATTGAATGAGAGCTCCAACGGCCACTGGAGGACACTTGGCGTCCAGTTTGTGATTCAATTTTTTTTGTTCGCCCGTTCATTTATACGCCATTTTTAGCACAAAGAGTGCCATCACACCATCGTCATCATCATCATCACCCGTCGAGTTCTGGTCAAGAGGCAATATGTGGATAGATATGCCTATGTACACGAAGGGAAAATCCTCAAGAATTAGCTTCATCCCTTAAATTCCTTAGTAGCCTTAATACACATTTCATAAAAATACTGTTCTTGATACGAAAGAAATAGCTTCTTTCCTTACCATACTTAAAATAATTAAAAATACATATAAGTTGTCAAATAGATATTAGGTAATGTTAAAAAGACAACCAATTCGTATGGTTGTTCTTCATTTAAAGGAGTTGCATCATGAAAAAACAAGAAACTTGAAAATCAGAGATTCTAATAAATTTCTTATTGTATTGTATAGAAAATATCAAAAAATTCTTCCTTTATTAGCTAATAACCTTGGACTTCCCCCTTAAATTTCGGACTATCCCAAACTTTTTTCTCAGTGCCCGTGTGCCACTGGATGTTTGGACTGTATGGTCAGCGAAATTGACAGATTGACAGCCATTTTCGGTTGGGGTTTGGGTTTGGGCTTGTGCCATTTGTATTGAAGTGTTGACGGAAGTGTTGGAAATTCGCAAAAAGAGCCGTTTGCTGGTGCTCTCGATATTCCCGTTGCTGGGCAAACGAACATGAAAGTAATTTAAATGACGGCTGCCCTTCAATTGTTTGGGCGAAATGAAAGCAAAAGTTCGAAATTGATTTGCTGCCCAAACAATGCCCTATGATGATGTGCACCCCTGGCGGGGGTAAACCCATCACATGTAGATCAGTACCGCGAATAATTATAGAAATTATGAATCATGCCCCGACAGACTGTTATTATAAACCACTCAGGCTTAATAACAGACCGCTAATTGGCTGGCAGGACCACCGGCGCATCAAATCAGGCATTCAGCCATTCAGCCTTGATGTCCCGACCGGGTCCAGGCCATTTAAATAACTCATTTAGCCCGGCTGGTTTTGCGGCCAAAGAGAACTCGTTGGGGGCTTTTCGTTCACTATACACTACTCACTACTCACTCACCTGCTAAATAGCGATCACTCTGCGAACGAGAATAGCGCAGCGTCTGTGGGAAGAAAGAGGGATCGGGGGATAGAGAATGTCCATTAATGTCTGGTAATCAAGTTGATGCGAGGGCGGGTAGATAAGTGCTGCAGGGGGATTCATAAGCGGATTGGCATACCCTTTGCCGGTGGTATTCTAGGGCTTCTCAGAACTTAACAAGACTCGCAAAAAAAATAGAGCAAGATAAATGAAGTAAGTTGCCTTGAACTGAATACAAAGTTAAGTGGAGTTTTCGAGTTTTAGGGATGCTAAGAATATGAGTAATAAATTCGGAGTTTAGAAATAAAATACTAAAAAAAAGGAGAATATACAAAATTGATACAATTAAAAATGGAACATTAAATGAACAAAATTGAACAATAACATAATAATTTAATCACATTTGAAAAAGGAATTTAACTTAGTTTTATTTTGTGATAGCTCTATGAAAAGTCTAGATTTACTATAGGTTATGCCTTAATTTTTGTTTTAACTACTCTTTGCATTGGACAAACCCTTTTTAATGCTCTAAAAAATTATGTTTATATAGATAAGTTTTCCCTGTTAGAAAATCCGTTCGATCTACCCTCGTTTGCACTCGTTTTCCACTCCAAAAACTCACCAAGTGCTGAGCCTCGAAGTTGTCGAATCGCCGGCTCATCTCGCGCTCCTTGAGCAGCATCGGCGCCGAGTTGGATTTGGTGGACAGCTCCTGGATGCCACCCGAGTCACCCAGTCCGCTGTGCAGCGAGGCGCTGCTGGGCGACGGCAGCTCCACGAAGTGGTGCAGCTGATTGGCAGCGGTGGTCGAGGGACTGAGGAGCGACTGGAAGGGCTCCTGGCGCAGGACCAGCGACAGTTGACCCCGCTCCTTGTGCTTGATGGCATGATGTTGGATGGGCAGGACTTTGCGCGGGTGCAGAAGTGGCTGCGGTGAATGGTAGTGGTCGAGGGAGTGGCTCCTCTGGGTCCGAGGCACGAGGATCGGCGGTGGTGCCGTGTACTTGCGTCGCAGAACCACCGGAGTGGCGGTGACCCCACCTCCTCCGCTGGCACTGCTCGCATCGCCATCAGTGCAGTCGCAGTCCCACATCTCGAACTCATTCTGGCATTCGTCGTAGTCCTGCGACTTGCCCGCCTTGTCCTTCTCCTCGTCCAGCATGTCGTCCTGCGATTCGTTGGCCGCCTCGCCGCCACTGCCACACTGGCTGAGGACCTCGAGCAGATCGGGATCATCGGAGGAGGCCACCGAGCCGCTCTTCTGGAACTTCATCTTGCGCAGCGCCTCCAGGCTGCTCACCGACTCGTTATCCTGGGCACCACCTCCCACACACTTCCTGTGGTGGTGATGATGATGATGGTGGTGGTGGTGCTGCAGATGGTGACTCTTCCAGTAGTGAGACATATCCTTGGGCGGCGTGGCCGTGCCAATGCCACTCTCGTTGTTATCGTTGTCCAGTCCCGAGGAGTCCAGTGAAATGCCCGACTTGCCGGAGCTCAGGACACCAGTGGCCTCCTCACAGGCCGAGGAAGATGAAGTGGAGCTGAAAGGCGAGGAGGCATTAAGACATTGACAGATCAATTCAAAGGAGCGACTGATTACTACACTCGGAACAAATAGTGGTGCTGGCATGTTGGTTTTGTAGATATTGATTAGACTTTAATTTAGTTTCAAAAGGTTTTACTAAAACGTATTGTATTATTTTTTATCAGCACATCACTCAAATTTGCCGAGTGTAATGTCTCAATGCTGGCACTCACTTATTGTCTTCATCGACGGCGCCAACGCTGCGCAGAATGGACTCCTCCGAGGTCCAAATGGTCGATGTGGATCCTTTTTTGGTCACATCCACCAGGTAGCCGGGTGTGGCGGAGGCCCCGGAGGAAGAGGTGGAGGAGCCTTTGGCCGAGACGGCTGATTGGGATGCGGATGAGGCTGAGGCCGGCGGCGGGGTTATGGCATTTCTGCTCGTCAGCGCCGCATGATTAATGCCCACCCGTTTTGGCATCGACATCGGCTGGGAGGCCGACGTTAGCATTGTCTCCATGTCGCCGCCGCTCAATTGTCGCTGTCGCCTAGATTTCAAATCCTCAACGGTGGTCGCCGTCGATTCACCTGCCTTGGCCGCTGCCAGCTCCTCGATTTTCAATGCGCTTTGGAAATTTGTCAGCTTATGAGTGGCCGGTGTCGGAGCTATTGTGTCCGCCTGGCCATTGAGTGGGGGGCAGGCCAGGCTCTTGCGCTGGCTCTGCGGGGGGAGGGCTGCTCCTCCGGATCCTCCGGAGACGCCTCCTCCGAATCCTCCATTCGGCGCCGACAGGGTGCGCATGTAGGCAACATTCGATTTGGTTGCCGGCGATGCCTCGTTGCGTCCGCAGCCAAGGTAAAACGATTGCAATGGAATGGTGGCCTGAAAGAGGTAAGGAATACACTTAGAAAATAGTTTTGCGAATATTTTATGTATTTTTTAAATACACTATTTAATAAAAAAGTTCTGTTTATTTTTAAAATTATTTAATTCAATAAGATAATGGTTCAACCAGCTTTTACGATTGATTAAAAATGTCTTAAATGCCAAATGTTGGGTAAACAAAATTCTTTGATTAAATATTAAAAAAAAAAATTAAAAATAATTCATAATGCGAAACAAATCCCCAACATATCTGTATCTTTAATCTTTAACTGGTCGAATTGCAAGGAAACTTTTGCCCAGTGCAGCAGGAAGAAGAACAAGTTAACTTATTAAAATATAGTCAGTCAGGTTTAATAAAGAAAAGTCGACACTGAGTGCCGCTGACAGTTTCGAGGGCCGCAACCTCAACCTCCACGGGCAAGGACCTTGAATGCATAATGAGCGTGGTGGACCTGGCTGCCCCCAGCCTCCAGTGCCTCCATGGCCGCCAATCCAATCTGGAGGCTACCTTGTTGGGAAGGTAGCCCAGGCCAGAGACAATGCGAAAAAGGAAACATCAGCGGAATTTTTAGACATTGTCAAGTGGAACGCGCAGGCAGCGCAGCAATTTTCGTATTTTATGCAAATCTTTTGGCCAAGACGGGTTAGTTCTTTTTTCTCTCAATTTTTGCATGTATCTTTTAGTTATTTCCGAGGAAAGGCATCTCAATGAAGCCGACTTAGCACTGGCATTTCCCCTATTGTTTTGGCTTATGATTTATAAGCCGAGTGTGATAAGAGGCCGTTCCATTCCAAGAACCCAAGGCTCCCGCTGAATGTCTATATTCACGGTCATGTTCCATCGGCGCATAAGTGCGTTATGTCAATTCGATTTACAAGCCTTTGGCAAGCGTTTGACAATTTGCTTTTCTCATTTGGCGGAAAAAATCCGGGCTGCTGCTGCAACAGGCGGAAATTGATTTAAATGATTTATAGGCAGAAAAAAAATGTGTATTTATGCCTCGAGCCGCGGCCCAAAACCGGGAACCGCGTTGCTGGTGCAGCAGGTTGCTGTTGTAGCGATGTTGCTGCTGCAGCAGCGATATTGCTGCCGTGTCTGCTGCTGTTACTGCTGATTCTGTTAGCGTAATTCCTTGGGGGCCTTGGGCGAATCGCTGGCCAGCGAAATTGCTGGCACAAAAAAATGTATCACGGCCTGATTGGAGTTGCCAGTCGAGTTCCCGAAAGCAATCAATATGAAATGGCTGGGCTTTGTAGTAAATTATAAACACATGAATATAATACCCAGCATTTAGGCATTTCCAGTTAACATTGAAATTACGAGCGCTTTTTTTTAATATTTGGTAATTAATCATTAACTGGGGAAATGTTTTGGGTTTTAACTGGGAGTTTTAATTTTTAAAATCCGTTTTAAAACATTTTTAGAATTTCTGAAAACGGAGTTTCAAAAAAAACACAAGTATCTTCAAGGCTACGCGCCAGAGTGATATGAAATTTTCGTTAAAGATATATAAATACTAATCGAATTAAAAACCAAAAATGTTTTCGACATCCCAGCTGCACATATCCCCCTAATCGAGTGTAATTGCCGGCTGCGGACCAGACGACGCCCGTCTAAAAATGGTCACAGGATGCGGATGCGGTCCGTCAGTTAGTCAGTTGGGGGGGTCCTTTGGGAGACCCAGCACACATCTGTTGCTGCTCCGAGATCATCAAATTTGTAATGCATTATGGAGCAGTCTGGAGTGCCTGTTACGGCAGCGTCTATGAATTATTAATAAAGACGACTCGATGGCGATGGCGATGCCATCTGAGCGAACTGCGTGTTAATGAGCCGCCAACTCTCGCCGGCGACGCATTAATTGGGCGTCCAGATCAATGGCGTTTATGGGCATGGCCGGGCATCGAACATATGGCTTTTTAAAGGCAGCCGGGCGCCGAGTCCGATCGATTTCGACTGCCGGGGCAATGAAAACTTTTACCATTTTACGGCTAGTTATCGTCCCGAAGATCATCTCACTCGATTAATTTAGCGATTTTATCAAGGCACCCAAAAATGAGAGAAACCAAAGAAAAATTCTCGATGCCCAATCTGTTTTACATATGTAAGCAATTCCCCATGATTCTCTCGTTCGCTGGTTTGTGTTGTGATTGAAATTGAAGCATTTTACGGCTGGGGAAAATTCAAATCTGTTTTATGACCGGCAGTAGAATCCGATATCCGAAACGCTGACAGAGACTTATTTAAATGTCATAAAATTGTGAACATCTCTCACAACAGTGCCGAAGAACGATTTGGAAATGGAATGAAAAATAAATGAAATGTTTTCTTCGGTTAGTTAATGAAAAGCGCAATAAAATGAACACAAAATGACACATAAAAATTGCTTTTCCCCTGGGTTGCCGGGGGTTATCGAAGAATTTCCGGAGGGGAGCAACTGTAAATGCTCCTAATTGATCATAAAATCGGGTCGCTAGAAATTTAAAAAATAAATATACATATATGCGGCGTTTGTTTACTGGTCTCGACGATATCGACTGACTGAAAGGCAGAATGACAAATGCACTGGGCAACGCCTCAGCGCTCCACTTTTATTGATATGTGACCCAGAAAGTCCCGGTCTCCGAGCGAACAACATAAGTATTAAAGTACGCCCGATCATGCTCGGCCAGACTATCGCAAATCGATTGGACATGCCCCTGACTGCGGCGGTAAACGAGTGACTGAGCTGCCCGCGGTCACGCATGCGCACTGATAATAATTATCAAATCAAAACACTTAAACGCCTGCCCGGCCCATCGTCCTCCTCCGGACATTGTTCCCTGATCACAGCCCACTATCCCCCATCCCCCATCCACTGTGCATATAACTGCTGCTCCATCTTCCCTGATTTCTGTTGGCCATCGTGTTTGTTTGCCTTGCAGTGATTTGCAAGTTCTACTTAAGTCAAAGTGTCTGGGGCTCGTTGAGCTGCCTGAAGAGCTTTTTGTGTGTCGCGGCCTTTTGTCTGGACAGCCTTGCAAGGCCTTCACTGTAAGAAAATTCTGTATCGAAATATTGTAATAAATATTTGAAGATCAAAGTTTATAAAAAATTGATTGCTTGGAAAAATTAATTTTAACAGAACACCTAATGTTTAAAAACCTTTTTCCCATTTTAAATACTTTTCATAAGTTAATAAATATATTTTTTAATAACTCTACTTTGACAATACCCATTTCTAATATCCCATTAAATATTCCAGTTCTTTATTTATTTAAAAATCTAATTTCCCTCACCTAATTTTCTTGAGTGTTGCCCGACATCTTCTGCATCTTCCACATCTGCTGCATCTGCATGGTTCATCATCATTAAGCGCATTGCGTCGGACGATGATGCCCCCCTGCCACACGCATGCAACATGCTGCACAAGATTCACTTTCGCAGGGAGAAACACTGGGCCCCGATCCCCAGCCCCATTCCCGAACCTCATAAACATTGCAGCCAACTAAATTGGGGCGTTTTGGGTTCCGCTCGGTCTGCTGCCGTGTTGACAGGCCCGGCAAAAAAGTGAAGTGAAGTGTTCTGCTGTTCTGCTGCTCAGAGGTCTCTGGCTTTTCTGATCTCGCTGCAGGGCGGCATGTTGACCCAGTTCACTCCACTCCTGCGCCTTTCGAGCGAAACCAATCCAAACCGAACCAAACGAAACGAAAAGCGGAAAAAGCTGAAGAAAAAAGCGAGAAACTGCAGCTTCTACTGCTCTTTTACTTTCATTGACAGTTTGTCCAGTCGATTTTTGGCAAACCGGGCACGCACTTGTGCCCTCGATACAAAAGGCCGATGTTGCCTTTGATTTATGCTGCCGTCGGTAGCTCATAAATCATGGCCCTCAGTCCCACTGTCTCACTGACTGATTGACCGAATGAGTAAGAGTGTATCGCTCAGCTTGCCAAGTCGACCACATTCTTTGCCTTAATTAGTGCAGCGGGGCTTAAGCGCTTTTAATTGGCACTTTTACCGAAGCGATTAAGGCAAAATATGACAGCTCCAGGGAACGGCACTTTTCCCCTGACAGCACCCAAAAAATTCGAAAACTATTTTGCAGTCGGATGCCAAAGAAAACAGTTCCGGTTGCAGAAATATGTCATCTTTCCTCTCAAATATATAAATATTTTTAAATCATTAAAGATGGGCCTTTAAATTCATAACAAAAATTTTTGAAAAATATTTTATTATTTCCTAAAGGTAAATATATATTTCTAATTGAGCTCTAATATTATGACGGGCAAAGTTATTTCCTGTCGCCTTTCATTTTGCAAATAGAACGAGTGAAAAGGAAATGGGCCAAATGCTGCAACTGAAGCTAATATCGATTGGTGGCAAAGATTGCGACTTGTCAACAGCCACGCCATGAACAATGGAGGAGCCCTTCCCAACCCCCAACCCAACCCAATCCACTCACCGGGTTTTTTGTGGGTTTTCGGTTTTCGTTTTCGGTGTTGATGTCGTGTTTTTCCACTGGCATGGCACGCGTTTTGAAAATTAATATTTGTCTTGTTGCAGCAAGTCGGCTGCTGCCTTTTTGAGGTTTTTCCCCCGATAATCGGAGACCCGAGAGGTGAGCGCAATGTATGCTAACCATATGCAACCGGGGAGACCGCAAGCCCAGTGCCGTTTATGAGCCGTTTTGGCTTATAAATGTTTTAATTAGATATATTCGGGTTGATAAGCCAGTGACAGCTAACAAGTTGGTTAGTCCGTTTCGGTGCCTATGGTTTATGGGCCACGACTGCAAAAAGTGGGTCAGCGAGCTGGCCAAAGATTGCAGCCACTTTTCTTGAGATAAAGCACTCGGAGAAAAAGCTACATGGTATCCATGGATAAATTACAATATTCTAAATTAAATAAAACTGAGTAAATATATTGCTATCGTCACTTAATTTTCAGCTATCAAAGAGCTAAACTTTCTAGCATCTCCCTGAACTTTAGCCTTTCCTCAGCAGCACACTGATTGCAATTAGAAAATCTTTTACGACTCCATGCCCGGCAATCAATCCCTAATTGTCTTTCAATCTAGGGCTGAAGAACTGCACTAATTAGAGTATTTTATTACACATTTTATGGCGATGCGAAGAAGCCCCCGAAAAATGCAACTTCCATAAAAGTCGGGGCTCTGTCTTATTCAAACAGTTCAAAGTTTAACTCGTCCAAGTGCCAGCCACCGAGTGACGACTGTCTATCAACGGACCAATTCAGTGCCCTGCCCCCAGTTTCCTCTGGCCGCCCATCTCCAACTCCCCTTTTCTGTAGCCCATAAATTTCACGCGCTTCAGTTGCGCATCCGGCGAATGCGAATGGACGGATGGATGGATGGATAGAACATATGGCAGTTCTTGAAAGAACATTCCTTGCTCACCGAATGCTTGGGGGTGAGGCTTCTTCTCTTTTTTTGGGGGCAAACTGTGTGTGTGGGCCCCCAAATTTTGGGTTGCCGCCTGTGTGTGTTGACAACATTGTTGTGATTCAGATTAAAGGCCTTTGTCTTGAGCGCATTTTATCTAACCCACATTCATAAAATATGCTTCGCTGTTTGTTCGCTCGCATGTCGAAATTGAAGCAGCCGGAGATTACACGGGAATTTCAGAGATGTGAGATTAGGAAATCTCAGCCTAAGCTGCAGAACATATGCACACACTAGGGGTTTAACCTTCTTAAAGAATGTGTGCTAACCTAAATGGCAATTTGAATTTTTTGGTCGAAGTAAAAATTAAATTTGTGTACTGAGTCGTCCATCAATATAAATATATTTCAAAAATTATTCTTTAAGCAGAAATAAATATTTTAAATTTAATAAATCAAGTTTTTATTTAAAAATTGGTAATTTCAAAAAAAAAGTCTGACTTGAACTTGGGTAACAATTAGTTATTTGTGTTTGCTAAGGATGGTGGATTTTAAAATTCTTGGCATAGTTTTGGATTATTTAGTTGGCAATAAGGCATACAAAAACCATTTTTTCATTCATAAATATTTATTGTAATTGTAATACCTATATCTATAATACCTATACTTTATTTTTATGGTTTATAGTTTCCTGTTTACTCACGTGTTTCTCTGGTTTCAAGACGAGTCCGTTCTGCTGCTGTTCCGTGATGGATGAGCCCTTGCCGTAGCGACTCTGGATGGCCGCCGAGGCAGCCGCGGACAGGAGGATGGGCGCCGTCCGGGAGGTGGGCGAGCTGCTGGCCGAACCGGAACCGGATCCTTCGGCCAGGGCCGCCAGTTGCGGGGGCAGCTTATCGCCGGCGGCCATCAGGCTGTCCAGATCACGTAGGAACTTGCAGGCCCAAATGTTAACATCGTCCGAGTGGACAGGTGGAGTGGGTGGGGACTTCATGGCGGCCTTGGTGGGACTAAGGGGCGGCGGAGGCAGGGCCCTTAGTTTAGTTGTCACTGGTTGGCCCGATGAGGCTGCTCTGGCTGCTCCAGCTGCCACTGATCCGGCTGCTGCTGCTGCTGGGGTGCCCGACGTGGCTGTGGTGCTGCTGCTGTCAAAGCCGCTATCTGATTCCGTGGAACGAGACAATTCATCAAGCTGCTGGACTCCTGACTGCGAAAGCCGCTCCTCCAGTTGCTCGCGGAGCTGCTGCTCCAAACGCTGGACCTTGCGGAGCTCGAAGACCTCGTTGATTTCCCGCTGCAATTAGAATGGCAGTTGTTAGTCGGTTGCACTGGGAGAAACTATGGTTTTCATATGATTAAATTATTAAATATTTAATTAGTCCTTAGCAAAATAGATGAATAAATTACGAAGTTATAGGTACTTTGAATACTGCTGCCAAATAAAAAACTAACAAATTTGCATTCACCTATTAAGCTCCCATCCCCATTCGTTGTTAATTCTCTTACCATGCATAGAGGACCCATAAATTGCGCAGTGCGGTGGAGATTAGGTTTTGATTAGCGCTCTAATTGCGCACATATATCAAGGCAATGGTCTATTAATCGCGCCCAGAGCGCCACATTCCCAGCCGCAAAGAGCTTCTTCTAATGGCCCCCGACTATGATGTATGCCTGCTTAATTTGCCCCGCAAACAGGGACAAAAAGAAAGCCCAGGACACGACCAAGACAACCCGGAGAGACATGGGCACAATCAAAGACAAATAAATTAGAACACGACCGCGGAGGCAGAAAGGTTTTCCACACTCGGATCGGAACAGAAAACTGCAGCCACGAACTCCCAGCGCAACAGAAACAGAAACAGAAACACGACTCGAATGCAAATAAATTGAAATGAAGCAATTTGTTAGCCAGATTAAACACAGCCAAAAAGAGCCACAAAAAAGAAGTTAAGACACGGGAAGAGAACCCCGAACTCCGAATAGTCGCCAGGGAAGATCTGAGACAGATGGAGCCCACAGGGCTAACAAAGTCAGCGAATTACTTAATTAAAAATCGTGGCCCAAGACCCAGAACTGGTCTGGGTCCTCGGAAACCCTTCTCGTAGCCCTCGAGACCTTCTTGAGCCCCTCCTCCCGATTCCCCAGTGACATTAATAACGTGCAGTGCTCATTACTCAACAATTGTGTTTTTGTTTGCGGGCCCTTGTTCTCGTTTTTCTTCTTTTTTGTGGCTGCTGCTCTGCCAGAAGGGCAGCTCTCAGATAAATGCGATCGAACATTAGCAGGCAATAAATTCTCAGAGGTAGTCTATTGCTTCTGGGGGCTACAAAGAAAGCCGCGAACTCTATGATTTTATCACTGGGGCCTCTCAGGTAGTGTGAGATCTTGGCTAACTAATTTGCGAGGGCGGCTCTCGGGTCACAGGTTGGGCAAACAATGTCGGACTCCAATCGAATTTGGCCCACTGATTTGCTATTTTCAAACTGAACCCATGACGTATGAGAGTTTGCTTCGGGCCATCTCAAGTGGGCCACCATAATTCCCAGTTCGTCGTCATACAATGCAATTTCTTTTTATTAATTTCATGCCACGATGCGCTGGACAAACAATTGGCATTGCCTGTGGAATCAAACAATCACTGCCGGAAAAAATGGCTAATGTTCTACATTAGTTAGTAAGAATTAGTAAGAATATTTTATATGACATTGGACATTCCAAACATTTGATTCTTTTGATAAATTAAATATAAAATCTTATGGGTCACTCCCTATTTCTCTTGAAACTAGAAATTTTGAGCTTTAGGGTTAGTTCAAAAAATGTTTAATAAATATTTAATTATAATATTATGCTTTTATAATAAAAGAGCTTCTACAAATGTCAAGTTCTAATTCTGAATTTGTTATTTTACTTCGAGAAAGTCCCTTTTCATAGCCTATTTTTCCAAGTGTTCTCATATGTGACAAAGGGTCTTTCGTCCGCGACCAGCAGGCGTATTCCCAAAACTCCGCGGGCCGCTCCTTTGGCCGCATCTCGGGCTATAAAAAGCTGGACCGCTGGCCAGCAACTTTCAGTTTCAGTTCAGTTTCGGTCTCTCCGTTTTTTCTAAGAGCCGAAACGCAGCGGATGCCGCTGGCTGGCTGGCTGACTGGCTAACTGGCTAACTGGCTAACTTGGCTAACTTGGCTTCTTCAAAGTGGCCGACGAGGCAGGAGTGAAATAAAAATTGGAACAACTTCGAGACTGGAGTTTCTGAGTCCGAGTCGCGACCAAAGCCAAGGCGATCCAAGCGGCAGACAGCATGAGACTCACGTTGGCCTGGCTCAGCGTCTGCCTGGCGATTTATTGCGGTGGTGGCCATGGCCATGGCAATGTGGTCCTATCTTTGCCACCATCGCTTATCGCCACGGCAACGAAGGCGGCCTTGAGCCACCAACGGCAGCAGCAGCAGCAGCAGCAGCATCAGCAGAAAAAGGATGCACGCGTCCTGTTTGACAGCCCCGCCGATGCACTGCGCGATATGCTGCACAACGGCAACGGAGCAATGGATTCAGGAAAATTCAGCCTTCCCGATGTGGAGCAGCCGGCACCGCAGCAGTCTGAGGATTTTAATCGAAACGCAGATGATTTAGGGGCCAGGCAATCAGCGCCGCAGGAAATTGCAATGGGAATGGGACTCGGCATGGGGATGGGAATGGGAATGGGACTATCGCCCAACCACTATCGGGCCACGCCCCCTCACCGGTATTGGGGCAATCGTTGCCAGGGTCGATCCGGAGCATCCACCAAATGTCCGCAGGAGTACTATCGCACCATGCTGGCGGCCAGGTAAGTAGTCTACCAGGATGTGGATGTGGGTGGCAAGGTGGGGGCCAGAGATTGGCCGGCAGGTTCAAGGCTGCACAGAAGGAAAGTCGAGAAAGTTGAGCTCCTCGCTTCCGCCTCACATGCAAACCAATTTGGCAGCTAAAGTGCGGCTTTAACCCTCTATTTCCAGGAAAAAAAGTGTAGATTTATTCGTGTGTCTGGCGAACACATCTTTAACAAGAAAGGAAGCTAGCTTCGGCCAGCCGAAGCTTATATACCCTTGCAGATCATTCCTATTAATTAACAAATCGCAAAAATGTTCAATTTTCTAATATTTCTCATTAATTTTCCGATCGTTCCTATGGCAGCTATATGATATAGTCGTCCGATTTTGATTAAATTAAAATTGAAATTCGGAAATATTTAAAAAGAGTCATATCCTAGAGTAGAAGATAATACAATAAAAACCAAAGAAGCTAGAATTTATTTCCTATTTCTTTTCCATTAATTTTCCGATCGTTCCTATGGCAGCTATATGATATAGTAGTCCGATTTTTTAAATAATTAATTCGAAATTCAGAAATATTTAAAAAATAACATCCCCAAAAGTAGAAGGTAATATTTCAAAAAACACCGAAGCTAGAATTTTTTAAAGTTTTTTTTCCGATTGTTCCTATGGGAGCTATAAGATATAGTTGTCCGATCCGGTCGGCTCCGACATATATACTACCTGCAATAGAAAGAAGACTTTTGGGAAAGTTTCATCCCGATAGCTCAAAAACTGAAAGACTAGTTTGCGTAGAAACAGACAGACGGACAGACGGACAGACGGACAGACGGACAGACGGACAGATGGACAGACGGACAGACGGACAGACGGACAGACGGACAGACGGACATGGCTAGATCGACTCGTCTAGTGATGCTGATCAAGAATATATATACTTTATGGGGTCGGAAACGCCTCCTTCACTGCGTTGCAAACTTCTGACTGAAATCATAATACCCTCTGCAAGGGTATAAAAATTTTATAAAAGTCAAAATGCTATTTTTGTCCTTATTAATACCTATCGAAAAGCAAAAGAAATTTTTCAAATCAGAAAATTCTTTAAAAAGTTATAAGCAAATAATGAAATTCAAGCAGTGCATGCGTCGCTTTCATTTTATAACTTAACCATGAACAAAAATATAATTGGTAATTGATTTTTGTATTTTTTAATCCTTCGAATATCCCGTTTTTCGTAACCCTTTAACCCAAAGCCCTTGGTGTTCAGCGGGTTAATGCCAACCCTTTCCAGGGCGCCAGGCTCTGCCAAAAAAAAAGGTTAACCCACAAGAGCGGCAACAAATCGTCGACAATTTGGCTGTCGACTGGGAACACGCAAAACCAATTAATGGGCGTGAAAAAATCAGTACCAACGATTGCAGTTTTGTTTCAAGTCAGAGCCTGCAGACCGCCGCGCCGTATGTTGATTTATTTTATAAAATAACAACTGTCAGCAAATTCATTGCCCCGAAACAAAATCGAAACGAAAACTGCATTACGAGTTTCACTTTTCATTTCGGCGAGTGAGAAATATATTTTTTCTCGCTCAGCTTTTGTTTTATGTTTTAAAACATTTCTTTTTTTCCGCTGCGCCTTGTAATTTACGCGCAATATTATCTTGTGTTGAAAAATTATTGGGCGCTGCTATTAAAATCGAATTAATCATCTCAGGGCTGGGACTTTATCATTATTATTTTCTGTTCGCTTATGTTTGCCTTTGTTGATTTGTTAAATGTTTGATTAATTAACCGCGGGCCCGCATAACTTTCGATTGTTGCTCTTCGGCTAATTTGTAATTTTACACACAGTAATTTCTGTGGAATTGCCTCAAATTGACTTTTGATTGAATTGGATCAGCCGTGACAGCCTCGGATAAGCGAAGGTTTTGGGCGTTTCTGGGTCATATGTTTGAGTGGGAAAAAGAAGTTTATCAATTTGGTGTCGTCTGTTATTATACCCTTGCAGAGGGTATTATGATTTCAGTCAGAAGTTTGCAACGCAGTGAAGGAGGCGTTTCCGACCCCATAAAGTATATATATTCTTGATCAGCATCACTAGACGAGTCGATCTAGCCATGTCCGTCTGTCCGTCTGTCCGTCTGTCCGTCTGTCCGTCTGTCCATCTGTCCGTCTGTCCGTCTGTCCGTCTGTCCGTCTGTCCGTCTGTCTGTTTCTACGCAAACTAGTCTTTCAGTTTTTGAGCTATCGGGATGAAACTTTCCCAAAAGTCTTCTTTCTATTGCAGGTAGTATATATGTCGGAGCCGACCGGATCGGACAACTATATCTTATAGCTCCCATAGGAACAATCGGAAAAGTTCTAGCTTCGGTGTTTTTTGAAATATTACCTTCTACTTTTGGGGATGTTATTTTTTAAATATTTCTGAATTTCGAATTAATTATTTAAAAAATCGGACTACTATATCATATAGCTGCCATAGGAACGATCGGAAAATTAATGGAAAAGAAATAGGAAATAAATTCTAGCTTCTTTGGTTTTTATTGTATTATCTTCTACTCTAGGATATGACTCTTTTTAAATATTTCCGAATTTCAATTTTAATTTAATCAAAATCGGACGACTATATCATATAGCTGCCATAGGAACGATCGGAAAATTAATGAGAAATATTAGAAAATTGAACATTTTTGCGATTTGTTAATTAATAGGAATGATCTGCAAGGGTATATAAGCTTCGGCTGGCCGAAGCTAGCTTCCTTTCTTGTTTTTTTTGTTTTTTGTTATTTTTGAAAAGAGAAACTCCGTCCAAGAAACTCGGTAATTGAAACCCATGGCCGCAGCCCACGCTCATCAAAAAGAAAAATGTGAAAATACGGCTGCTCCTTAGAGCGAACAAATGATGGGGCATTAATCAGAGTATAGAGACCGCAAACCTTTATTAACCTCTACTCCCCACCAGGAACAAAGAGGCCCTGGCCCGCCTTCACTTGCAGCTAAGTTCAATGCAGGATTCTGAATCCGACTCTGAGGCTCAGAGCTCCTCGGATTCCTCGGAGGAGGAAGTCGACGACGAGGAGCAGAGCAACAATGAAGTCTTTATGCTGCTGACTGGCGAACAGGATCTCATCAAGTTCCTGCACTGGGCCATGCAGCTCCTCTACCCCATTCAGCGTCCTCTGGGCAATCTGAGTGATGGGGCTGCCGAGAACTATCATCCTGGGATGTTCCTGTGGAAGAAGCTGAACCTGTCGGGTCATCTGGAACCACCGCTAATTGTGGACGAACCTCAATATGTGCTGGTGAGAAGGGAAAAGCTCTTCGATGGCTATCAACTTGGAGGTGAGAGTTGATCCGAGATATTTTTTTAAATTTTTATTTAAATGGGAATAATTTAACAAAAGAATTAAATCAATTATATTGTTTCCCAGAAGATGTGAGCAAGGAGAACGATCCTTTCATTCCACCCCGAGGTCGCAAGCACAACTCGCCGGATCTGGAGGTCCTGATGAACCGATACGAACCCTTTGTCCCGAATCGCGGCAAACGCGACAAGGTCAAGGATCTGTTCAAGTATGACGACCTTTTCTATCCGCACCGCGGCAAGAAGCACCGCAACCTCTTCCAAGTGGACGACGATCCCTTCTTCGCCACCCGGGGCAAGAAGCTGCAGCTCCGGGATCTTTACAACAGCGACGATCCATTCGTTCCGAATCGCGGCAAGCGGCACTTGACAGCCTTCGGTGGCGGGAAATTCGGGGAGCGGGAACGGGTGGCGGGTGGAAAATGGTCGGATGACAGCGACAACAACTGGCCGCAAAGAATGTCAACGCATAAAATTAATGGTTACGATCAATCAGTCAGGCCATCACTGTCAATGGAGGATGCTGCTGCCTTAGCCGCTTCTTGGCGACTGCCCGCTAATAGATTGCACTCGACAAGATCAATGTCAGCCGATCTGCAGCAGCAGCAATTGCTGTTGCCCCATGTCCGCTTCATTGGCAGTCCGAACATGCGCCAGCAGCAGGTGAAAACATCATCCTGGCCAGGAGAGGAGCGCCTCCGGAGATCCATCCCCACCCCAGGCAAACACGGCGAACACGACGGACAAAACGATGCCCACGAGACACAATTAACGCAATCGCACCCGGCTAATCCACATTTGGACACTGATTCGGACATCTTGAACATTTAAATGCGGCGAGCGAGCTTCGGTTTCGGTTTTGGTTTCGGCCTTTTCGGTTTTTCAGTTTTCAGTTTCGGCTTGGGGCACCTTTTTCCTCGACTCATGTAGACAGAACTATATGGCACACAATAAAGTACAGCATGCAATTGATTTTGAGAGAAATCGAATGGAATCGAATCGTTGAGAATTGAAGGTTGCTCTACTACGTTGCCCTTGGGGACGCCTTTCAAGAACTGCACTGGGGGAAAATTGTGACGATTCGGGATCCTTTTAGTGGCTGGAAATATTACTTATAATATCATTATCTATAATGTTCCGAATTGCAACTCTTTTTTCGAATCCCATCAGCAGTACATTTCTTGCTTAGAGCTGCTAACTATTATTATTATTATCCGTAAATCTACTTTAGTAAGAAGTTCTGAGCTTGGTTGACATATATCGATTTTTGCCGTGTGCTCTGCGAAGGTCTCGCCTCGTTGCCCTTGGCGATGTTGTTGCAGTGCGAGTATTTCCTATTTTAATTGTATTCATTGGTTAATTTATCGCTAAATGCAATCAGCATTGTGCCGGGCATCGAGCATCGCGTCTAGACTCCGTTGGAGCCGCAGAATCCGAGGCAGAAACACAGCTGCAGACAGGCGGGCGTGGCACGCAGTTGATGCCACATCGGAGATATGCAGGCAGATATTGTAGAACAACGGCAACCAGTTGAGGCCAGCGAAACAGCTGCTGAGCGACTGCAAAGGTCAGGCCAACAAGGGCCATGTAATCCCCGAAACGCACATCAATCACGCGAGTTTAGCTTATTAGCCCAGCGCACTGAACCCTAAACAAAGTCAGAGAAAAAAGGGAGATACAGTGAATTTTCGAGCCACTGTAAACAGAAATTTTCCACTTCAACCGATTTCTGACATTGACATTGACCTCATCGACATCAACGTCAAAATATTTTTGGTAAGCCAGCGGACCAGCTCGCTTTGTTTCTGAACAAATGACCATTGAAGGTCATAGCCAGATCCAAAAGCGGGCAACAACAAATTGGTTAAATAATACCCATATGCTCTTCCATCTCCATCTCGTTTTGGCCTGTTTCATTTTTTGTTTTAAGGTTTTTTTTGGTAGCCTGACGTCCGAGCGATCGGTCCAAAATCCCCTGAAGATCATTATAATTTCAATGGCACTTCACATGGAGTGTGTATATGCATATATGTGAATATATTTGTGGACCTATGTTTGTTTAGAAGAATGCAAGCAGCCCGGACCACAAATACTATACATTTTCTTTGCGTTCAACTCTCGGCTGGGCAATGACACTTGAAGTGGTCAACTCACGTGCAGCTTTTTAGAGACAGAGGTGGAGGTAGAGGTACGGGTTTATTGGAGGGCAGAGTTTGAGTTAGGTAAGCTTAGTGCTAAACAGCTGTGACAGCTTCGGAAGAAATCCCACAGAAGCACTCGCATTCTTACACAACTCAAAACAAAAATTTTTAAATGCTATACTTATTTATGTGTAGGTAGCAAAAATTTAGTAGTTTACGAATTTGTAAAAAAATCGTTTAAAATTATTTATGAAATACTTTAAATATTTGTTTATCTTATTTTTGTATATTTAATACAAGTACTCGCAAAAACTTATGCAATTGGTCATTGCACCGCACAAATCATTGAGCCAGATGTGTCAGATGAGTAAGGATTGAACAAATCAAATTCCATTGGCTTTCAAAACCCCTAAGACCGAGCAGCAGGCTACTTTGTGTCACTTTTGGCAAGCGGCTAGAGGAAAAGAAAGCGATTCCCAGTTGTGAGCTTCGAATTGGCATCAGCAAATTGGCTCAATTTTTGTGGCAAGGCCTTTTGCAATTTTTTTCTTTCTTTTTTTCGGTTTTGGTGGCTGCTGATTTGCTTGTCGGAAAATATCAACGCATTGTCAGCGAGCCGAACTTGACAACTGGCAACATGCAATGCTGCAACATGGCAACATTGAAACTCTGCCACATTGCAATTGTAACGCGATCAGCATGAGTAGCTGGCAGCCTGTGACAGCGGCTTAATTGCTGTCTGCAATTATGATTGCTGCCGGTGAAATGGTAGAAGTCTCGGCTTCACTTTCGTTTCGCAGCCCCAGCTTCTCAGCTTCTCCCATGGTTTTTGTTTTAATTTTTTGCTTGCCAACTTCTGACTCCATTTGGCATCGGCAACAGCATCAGCATCATCGGGCCTGTGGGATTTTCATTGTTTTTGCCAGATCAACTCCTGGTTGACAAAAATAGTAACGTGCAGGCAGGCGCTGCCTTTTATTGCCATTTGTTTTGGCCCGTTCGCCGTTTGACGTTGACAAAAAACGTCATTTGCAAATTGGGCAAAGACAACTTTCTCTAGGCAGCTGCGCCGTCGCATTTGCAGTCGCATTCGCCAAGTGACAGAGCCCCATTGCATAAAGCCATATAGATAAACCAAAGGCAAGTCGTCGCCCACATTCATTAACAGCATTCGCATAATTGGCTAAAGCAGATACTTTTTGTGGGTTCATCGAACCAGCCAGGCCAGACCAGACCAGAAAAAAAATTAAAAAACTAAAGCCGAAAAACAAAAAAATTAAAAACAATCCCTGGGCGCAGCAGCAGCCTTACGTCTCAATTTCCCATCGCCACTTTGTCAATATCTATAATTAAAATCATTTGAGAACACACGCAAACTGTGCGCCTGATTTATCAGATTTTCGAATGGCAGAAAGGCAATATTTATACACGTTGTCATGCTGAAAGCTTGATTGATGCATTAAGCTTACTTAGCCATAGTCGATGTTGACGAGCGCCAATTAATGGCTGCTTAAACGGGAAAACTCTGCCTCAGCCAGTCAGCAAGTCAGCTAGTCAGCCATCCAGGCAGCCAGCCAGCTTGTCCATGTAAAATTATGGAAAATCTGCGCAAAAGCCAGCGCTAATTGATGCAGGAAGCGCGTCGTGGAAAACGAGTTGCCATCGCCTGTCATGGATTCGCTTCGTTTCGTTTCGATTCGGTGCGTCTTAAATGGGTCAGGCGGTGATTACCGCCTCCACTAACGCATTTCATAACTACACTTGGAAAATATAAATATTTAAACACCCAAAAAAAAACTAGAAATGTAACTATGATCGATTTGATGTAATGTGATATTTGACTTGATATGCTCGAAATGTAAAGAACACTTCCGCTTTATTTTGAATTGAGAAAATTAGTTATTCTTAGACAATCTCCGAAAGAAAGAAGTATCGTTGCACGGTAATAACGATATGCGTATACCAAAAATGTATCATGCGCATATCGATTTGATCTCAGCGTGTTTTATGTTGTTGTGTGAATGATAGATGTTTATATTAAAAATTGATGTCTAGTTTTACTTGCGATTCAATTGTGTAGATTTTTATTACATTTTTCTTTAAAAGTATGATTGAAATAATTAAAGAGGTAATAAATTGGTATTTTGTATTCTGAAAATAATAATAAAGTTAAACATTTTGGAAGAATATATTTTTAGGATTGGGTGTTTCAAAAAATTATAATATTCAATTCCAAAATTATTTCCACCTATCTGCCTTTTTGCCTCTGTGTATTCAAATTAAGCCTAAGGCCACGCCAACAACAAGCGTCTTAGCAGTCTTAGCGTGTAACGGCAATTTCCAGCCAAAACGCTGCACTATTTGTCATAATAAATGTGCACAAAGCAGACGTTGCCCCCATCCGCCGCCTTTTTGCCTCGGAAAGAAAGCTTTTCGGCCTGCGTGGGCAGCGCTGTGACACATTTTGTCATCATTAGGCACAGTTGCCGGCTAATAATTTCAATTTAGCCAAAAAATTAGTTGTATTCGGAGGTGGAAAGGAGAGGAGAATGTGTAAAAAGGCGTTAATAACCGCGGTGTAAGGCCATAAGCCGACAGCCCACGCCAGTCCGAAGAAAAACTAAGCCAAACTAGGTTTTTGGCTTAGTTTGGTTGACGGCTCCAAAGAAATGGAAAAGGGGCGATGGGGGCGTGGCCGGCACTCGATGGGTGTTGAGGTGATGACACTGATTATAAAATGCAGCATATGGCGAATGGCGTGCTCCGTTTTCCGCCATAAAGCCATCCCAGTTGATCAGCGGCGATAAAAGACGCCTTGCTCTGATTTGGCGCGGTAAAAAACGCCGTTAAATCGCCGGCGTTTTGTGCGCGATTTGTGGGTGCTTCATTTGGCAGAAACGGCGCAAAAGCACTTTAGTCGCGAAGTTTATTTTATCCAGAGCTTAGCGCACGCAATGGAGAATTTTATTTCATAGTTATCCCGAGAACCCTAATGGCTAAAATAAATGCCATATAAACTACAGGTAACGCCTTGCTCTGAATATGACACTAATAAAAAACCTATAAACTTCGTGGCGATTTGTGAGAGCTTCGCTTAATTAAGAAATAAGAAGGCCTATTTATGTCAGCTGATAAAAAGCTTAACAGGTAAAACCAATAAAATAATATAAATCAAGAAGGATTCATATTTTTTAAACCTATTCCTGGTCTAAACTTTAATTGAAATATTGACCAGAAGAACGAAAGAGAAAAAGCGCGTGCGTGCGTTTATGTTTCCGCCATGAGCGGCTAATAAACATAATAATAACAACAAAATCTTGCAGCCATGGGGAAAATTCATGCGAAACAGTTATAAAAAAAGACAAAACGAAGGAAAAAGGCGAGGAGGAAAAAATAAAAGAAAACTTAAGCCTCGGCCGTTGACGTTGCCGTCATCGTTGATGTGTATGTGTAATATTGCGCTTTCCGGTACAGAAACATAAAATTTTATGTACACGACCGCTGACGACAGCCCAAACGACAGCCAAAGCGGCAACGAAAAGTTGGGCGTGCAACGCGGCGTATGCGTTACATATTACGGCAGTGTGTGAGTTTGCCTTAACACATTTTTCTGTCACGCAAAATAATCATTTGCAAAATCACGCCGTGTTGACAGCAGAAGAGGGGGCGGGGGGCGCTGAATGAAAGACTGGCACTAGGCAATTGTGTGATTACACGGAGAGAAATTGACAAGAATCCAGAACTTGTATTGAATTTCATTCAGAAAATGTAGAGCTTACAAAAAATATATATAAAGACATTTTTACAATACATCTGTGTTGTTAGTTCTACAAGTTTAGAACAACAAATATAACAAGATGAGTTAAAATGTATTTACAAAGTACTACTATCTACCTACTACTATCTATCTCTACTATCAAAATTGTACTTTAGTACATTAACATGCCCCTAAAATTAACAATAAACAATTCCCATAAGATTGCGAATTTCTAAATTGCTTTTCTCAGTGCATTTATGAGTGCGTTTGGTTGATGAGGACACAAATTGTCGGTTAGTATCATGTGAAAAAGCCTGAAATTGAATAATGTCATTCAACAGATGGAGGCAAGTGGAGCCCGCCAACCTCACTCCCGCACCCAACAAGTATCCCACAATTTAATGTGAAAATTTCGCAACATGGGAACGCAGGAAGCTCTGCATTTCCCAGACAAAACAGAGACACTCACCTTGACACGCTCCAAATATTCCTGTAGAGCGCCGTACGGATCCTCGCCATCGACGTCCAATAAATCGAGGCTGTGAGCCAGGTCCAGGTTGTCCAGTGCGGCCAATTCGGACTCGGCCTTATCGGCAAATTGCAGCTTATGATGATGATGCCCCTGAACGGGCGCCGCCTGGCTCAAGAATTTCTTATCAGCTGTCATGCTGCTGCTGGCCGGCGTTGCTCCTGCTGCCGTTGCTGTTGCTCCTGTCGCCGCTGCAGCAGCAACATTGCTTCCGTATTGGCGAGTTCGCGGCATGGTTGCACAACCGGTGCTAAAAACGCTCGGAGCGGCGGCAGCAGCAACAGCAGATGGAGTTGGCCGACCAAGAGCAAGACCATCAACGTCTCCGTTGGCCGCCACATCACTTAATCCCGATTTGTAGCGCGTCGTGTCAGCGGCGATTGCTGACGTGCTGCCTGATGTTGCTGCTGCTGCCGTAGATGCAACTCCGCCTGTTGCTCCCGGCACAGTCGCTGCCTGGCCGTTGATAAGCGTTTGATGTTGCTGCTGTTGGCTGTTGTTGCTGCTGCTGCTAATTGCACTTTTCACATCTTCTCCTGTCATGTTGTTTTGATTTGTATTGCTATTGCACTGCATTTTAGTCAACTTCTTGACTTTGTCATGTTGCCGCGTCGCCTGCTGTTGCTCTGCAAGTGAAAAAAGAAGCACATGAAAGATTATAAGCTTGGTTAATCTCGGCAATATTTCTGCCCATAGAGCTGTCATTGTGCGGCCGGCGCACCCCGAACAAAGTTTCCCAACGAAAAGGAAAAGCCTCCCGTCCAGGCGGCCAAATAGACACATGCGGCTTAAGCCGAATGCGCGAGAATTTCTGCGCTAATCGCCGCGAATTGTCCACCAAATGTGTGCCATTTAAATTGTCATAAATTTTGCAATATGCCCCGCACATGTGTGGACTTAACTCCATTTTTATTTGGCATGTGTTTGCCTGCGCGAATGTTTTAATTAATTTCGTACGGGCGCAAAAAAATTGCCGGCAATTATTTACATACACGAATTTATTGCTCACACCGCGCTCAACCATTTCCCGAGTGGTTTGCATTATTTATCTTCAGTGGGGTTCTATTATGGAGCCGTAGAGTCACGCCTTTAAATTTATGTCGCTGCTAAGGCTGAAAATGGGTCATCGCAATCAGCTTGATATTTGTACCTTATACGGACAGCCATGACTAATTTTGGGTTTATTTATTAAATGTCAAAGTAGGGGATTTGTAATAATAACTCAACAAGTATATATTTTCTTGGGTAACCCAATAACTTTAAGATCCTTTCCCACAAATGCAAGATCCGTTCTCAGTCCTAGTAAATTTCCAAAACTCTCTAACCCACATAAATATTAATAAATTCCCAGCGAATCGAATCGAAATTCGCATAGGGGCTAAGGTTATGTGAACTTTGGTCAAACGGAAGAACCCCGCTAACCGGCCGGCATCTGTCTATATCTATTTACGTTTATATGTATTTATTTCTCCTCTTTTCTGGTGGGTAAGTGAAACGGTTTCTTGATTTTATGGGTTTGATTTGATTTTTGTTTTTATTGCGCATGCGTGCGTTCGATTGAGTTTTTTGATTAAAATGTCGCCGCCACCGTCGCGAGTCGCGACTTGGCGACAGCCGTACAGCAGTACAGCAATCCGGCAATACAAAAACAAATACAAAATGAAAACCAACAGCTACAGGGGTCTGGGTCTCTTTGACTGACTCCACTTCTGCTGGTCAAAAATGGCTTGGCATTTAAGAATTCTGAATCGCATGCGTTACACAACGGCCCGTGGCGAGCTCGTAAATCAGCGGCTGCAAACGAGAGTCAGTCAGCGGACAGGGACAGTTGGCAACATTTTATGGGGGTCTCTCTGCCAATTGATCGTTTTGGGCCGATTGGCAGGCCGCCAGTTCAGGCCGAAGTCAGTTCAGCGAAAAACCAGGCCCAAACTCGGCTGCACTTTTCTTCTCCTTTTTTTTTTTTTTATTTTTTTGTGAACTTTTATTTCTGCATTTCAATTGTGCAACGCTAACGGTACTCCTGGCCCATAAGGACGGCTCTTTACCGCCGTGTGGGTGACGCGTCGCGAGTTCATGGGAGGTCTTCCCCCAATTTCGATTGCATTTTCCACACACAGAGTTTTTTTTTGGTAAAAGAAATAAAAAGTGAATTTATCCCATCTTCTAAAAGAATTTTCAGTAAGGCTAAAATTATTCTGGATTATATATTTATTTAATTTTAGAAGGTATATTTAAAATTGTTGTTGTAAAGAAGAGCTTAAATTTTTTCGATATTCAAGTCTTGTTTGATTTCCTTTCCCTGTTAACCTACAAGTAATTCTTATTTTAGCTTCACTTGCCTTTCTAATTAGCAAGTTAAAAAGGGGAATATGTACAATGTACGTTTACCGGTCAGAAAAAAAATTCGCATCCATTGTTCTATTTGATGATTGGCCATAAATTCTTTTTTTGGGAACTCGAACCCGTGTGCTGGTTCGCTTTTTGTGGCTCTGCAAACACGAACAAAGAGCGCGAAAACAAAACACATGTACGCATTTAGCTTATTTGCTTATTTACTTGAAATGAAATTGTTTGCCGGGGTGTGTCCGCTAAATGGCCACCGTCCATTCATTGATGGGCGTGTGTGTGGATTTTATTATATTTTTTTTTATTTTGCGGCTGCTGATTGATTCGCTGACTGAGGTCACTTCAACGTGATTAATTGCCGATCGGCGATGGCCAAGCGGGGGAGAGGCGTTTGCGGAGGTGTCACTCTGTGCCTAATTGAAAACAATGCAAAAGTACAAGCCAGATGCTTGTGAAACACACTCATGGAGCGTCCGGGACTGGTCAATATTTGCCTGCAGTTGGTGCAGTTTATGCAGTTGTTGTTCCCCTCCAGCCGAGGGACCTACCTCAATGCATTTCATCTCGACTGGCCGACTGTCTGACTGGCGCAGAATGAGTAAGAGTGAGTAAATAAGTAAAATGAAATAAGCACAGCAGAAGCTGTCAGCCCGGCAAAAATGCACCAGCGAGCACTCGGACACTTGGACACGCGATTAGCGGGCGATGAGCAAGAAGCGACTCCAGCACACCAGAAACTGCAATCCAGTATCCAGAATCCAGATGCGAAAAACTCCGAACTGACGTGTGTCGGGTTGGGACAACGTCTTCGTCATGCCGATCAGCACAGATCACAGGCGCCCTGAGACGCCGCCGGTCTGCGGATTATTCTCTGGATCCATTTCCATACCCTTTCTAAAGGGTTTTCACCATTAGAAAGTCAGGGGAAAAATATCTTAGAAACCCTATGAGTTCTTAATAGAAATTACTGACAAATATTTTATTTTTACCATTTTAAGCGAATAAAAAGTTTCCAAGTAATGTGTAGGATAACTAGGTTCTTGGGATAGTTTATAAAAGATATTTATTTTATGATTTCTAAGGATCATCCTAAAAGGGTATTTACATTCTCGGCATCTCTCTTTTAAAGTCGACTAAGGGCAGGGCTCGGAGTTGGGAGCCTGGGGCTCGGGTCTTTGGGAACGACTGGCTCTGGCGGCTTTCAAGCCTCATTTGCCTATCAAAATGATATAATACGCACTCATGACGTCGATTGCCGTATGTACGTGTTTCCTGTTGCGCCTTTTGTCGCTGTCGTTGTTGTTTTTTATTTTTATTTCATTTTTTACTCAGACTTTTCGTGTGCAAAACTGCAGGCGATGGGGCGTGGCTGAAATCAAATGGAGTGCACTTTACGGCTGGTGACAAAGCTGACCGGGGAGTGTTTTTCTTTCTGCGTTTTTCGGGCCGCCTGCAAGTGCGTTCGCGTTTTCGAGCTGCACCCAAGCGGCAATCGTTCGACTTTTACGACTTTCCCAATTGCCAGTCCTATGCAGACGCATTTATAATAAATATTTTGTGCATTATTGATGCCCACAATGGCGGTAGACAGTTGCCGGGGAAGTTTTTAATGCCGCCTTAAGTGGCTTTTTATTAAACATTGCGGCATTTAATTGATTTGTAATAGATTCGACTCTTTATATTAAATGCCAAAGGTGTGTGCCCATGTGAGTGTGTCATGTTAACGGAAACCCAAAGGCCCTGCGTCATGCATAATTCATGCAGTTTTTACAGTCGGAACAATATAAAGGAAAAGTAACAAAAAAGTTATGCGCACGCCCTAAGCAGCTGGTTCGAGTTTCTATAAATTTCCCTTACATGTCAATATTTTTCTTTAATTTTTTGTTGTTCATCAGGTTTTTTTAATAATGCATTTAATTGCTCTTAATTGGTTTCACTGAATTTCGCAAATAATTGGACGTGATTCAGATACTTAAGATTCATTCTCTGAAATGCAATTCAATTTTCTGGCATTTATGTCTTATCGCTGGCATCGCCAAACACGTATATCTTGTGAGCATTCAAAAACAGGAAATGACGAGGATTTGAGCTGGCTCTCGGTTCTCGTTGACCTTCGTTGACTTGGCTGCCCCAAAGGGATCAATAAAGCACTTAAAATGCTTGTAAAAACATTAAAACATCTGTAGCAAAGACGATCCAGAAATCAAGTTTCCTTTTAAATTTTAACTAAAAACGGGTCTGAAAATAAGATTAGAACCCAAGACCGTTCTACTTTACGCTCCCCTATATATTTTTAATATGCTTCATATATTTTATGGTTTAATGTTTAGCTCATTTTATGATCACACAGTTAATCATTTTCTTTTTCCCCTAGCAGAAGCCTGGTTTCTATTAATTAATAACAATAACTGCGGCTATTAACTAGCCTAATGAGTGTGAGCCTAGCCCAGTCCGATATTTCCCACAACGCGATTTTGTTGTTGCTGTTACTGTGTGTATGCAACATTTCCGCCCCGGCGACAATGCGACTTAGTTGCCAAAGCTGATTAAGCGGGCGAACTGAGGGAAACTTACCATTTCCTGCCGCAAAGGCGGCGATGCGCTCCCTAACCGAACGTCTTGGTTCGTCATGAGTGCCAATGTTGCTGCTGTTGCCGTTGCTGTTGTTGCTGCCGTTGCAGCTGTTTGGCAGCAACATATGTGTTGCCGTTGAGTCATGGCTAGGACTTCGCTTCACCATTGTCGTTTTGATCACAGTCTTAAGGCGGCTGGGCGTGGTCGGACGCGCTGCAATGCGGGGCTTAGGTGTTGCTGGTGTTGCCGTTGCTGTTGCTGTTGCCGCTGTCAATGTTGCTTTATCGCTGCACAGCACTTCTGTGGCAGCACCCACAAACTCTTCTGATGTTGCTGTTGCTGCTGTCGCTGTTTCTGTTGTTGCTGCTGGCAGCCCACACTCGCTGGTCGCTGTTGTTGCTGTTGCCGCCGTTGCCGTTGCTGTTTCTGTTGCTGTCGTAATTGTCATTTTATTCTGCGACGACTTCGGTGAATCAATTTTCGAGTTGCTATTGCTATTCGTTTGGGGCTCGGCGGTGTCGGGTAATTTACAATAATTACAGTGCGGCTTGTTGTTGTTGTCGTAGCTTAGTGTATTTTCCTTATTGCTATGTTGCTGTTGCTGTTGCAATTGTTGGTGTTGGTGTTGCTGTTGCTGTTGCAAGCTATTGCTTAGTCTTTGGGTTGGTTGTCGTTGCTGCTGCTGCTGCTGGTGTTGCTGTTGCTCATTGCCACTTTGCGGGCTCTTTGTGACAGCGCAAGTTTTAGTTGCTGCTGCTGCTGTTACTTGGTTGCCTTTGTTGTCCTGCCGCCATTGTTCGGCCAGATTTCGTTGATTCATTAATATCAGCGCCACATTTCCGTCGTCTCTTGGACCAGCAGCGATATCATTGGCCTCATCATCTGCTTTATCGCCGCCACAGTCGTAGTTGCAATCGTCGTAATCGTTGTGGCAATCTTGGCGTCGCCGCGGCACATCATCAATATAGCTGAAATCGCTATCGACGAATATATTTCTGGCATGCAGCGTGTTCACTGTCGACTTGTTGCTGTTGTTGCTCTTGGCCTGCTTGAGATTGTAGCGCCTTCGCTGCGGGCAGCAGCAGAACTTCACGATGGATCGATGGAGCGCTGGCGGCGATGTTGGCGATAATGTCGGCCGATTCGGCGTCGCCGGCGTAGCAATGTCAGCCCATTTCTCGATCAATGCCAGCTCGCGAGCATTGGACATTGTCGTATAGCCATGCAGGGTGATTCTGAAAGGGAATAGAACGAAAATAGATTTGATAAATTAAATTAATAAATAATAATAAAAATATAGAAATGTTAACTGAAGTAAAAAGTTTTGGAACTTATTCTAGAAAATTGTTTTTCTGAGTAGTACTTGCAATAGATTTTGATTTAATAGATTCTGGAAATCTTTTTATGGCATATATGTAGATGTGAAATTCATTTTTGTGATCTTCAATTTTTTCTTATAGGAAATGATCAAATATTTCAAGAAAGTTAGCTAGGTTCGCCAAGTTTAAATGACAGCTATATATTCAGAAGTCCAAAGTAGAAGAGAATGTGATCAACTAAGCTAAATTTTCCCTGTTATGTTCTAATTAATTCTCTGGTCGTTCCTATGGCAGCTATATGATGTAGTAGTCCGATTTTTATTGAATTTAATTCGAAACTTTGAAATATTATGTCAAAAACAACAGAAGCTATAAATTGTTTTCAATATTGTTAAAACTGCTTAAATTCAACAAAAAATTCACCCTACTGAAACTCAGTGACACACCTGAATTTAATATAAACAATAATCGCTGCGATTCTGCAAGTGAATCGGAAAGGAAACCATAAATTAATTACACACAAAAGCGAAAATCAATTAACCACATTTCTCAACGCGTCTCAGCTTTTCACCAAAACGTTTCCTCATTCCTGCCGCTGAATGGAATGGAGTGGATTGGAGCTGGAGCTGGAGATCCGTTGAAAGCCGATTCGCTGCGCACATCACAGTGTGGACTCTTGGCCAGCAACGCCATCTGTGCGTCATGGCAGCAGGAGCCACATCCACAACCACATCCACATCCACATCCAATATAGCCAGCCAAAAGCAAAGCCACAACGTGTTTTAATTGCCAGCCGCTTTTTGCGCAACACTTTCCACGGGCACCACTTCTAAGTGACCGCCAAAATGTTGAGCTGCTGTTTTGCCGGCAGAAAGCCGGCTGTCGATGCATGATTAACTGCCCGTGCGGAGCAGCAAGCTGCAAACTGCATTTAATTGCATTCGCTGCATTCGCGATATTTGGCCGCAGGGCAACTCGACAGCAGGTAGCCAAAATCTTGCAGATCTCACAGATCCCAGAGTTCCCAAGTGCCGTTTGCCGCCCACCGAAGTGCAGCTAGCCAGCCACACGCTGATTAATTTGTTGTGGCAGCCAGCACACTGAGAATAATGATTACGTTCTATATTAATATTAAGTTCTAAAAAAACTGACCAAAAATTGCAGAGAGGTTTTAAGATATTTGTTAAGATAACTTTTATATAAAATATATATTTATTCTCTAGGACAGCCACAATTTTTTTTGAGTATTTATATTACCCAATATATACTTGTATATTTTTCTATATTATTCTATTTAAAGTTTTAATACTTTTTAAAATCTTATTATTTTTGAAGCCTGCAATAAAATATTGTCAAATTAAGTTATGATCTATTTATTTTCTTGGATTTTCTAAAATACTTTGCTCTAAAATTTTCTCTCGGTGAGCCTGCGCAGAAGGCATTTGCATTTGGGCTGGTTGCGAACTCGACTAACTGCTACCTTATTGGCCAGCGGCGTTGACCTTCTGCGCTGGCCCCGGCTAAAAGCTTTTCGCCGTGAAAGTTTGCCTCGGAAATTCCTTTCCTTTCACCACATTGCCGCAAAAGCGTCGCCCCTTTTGAGGGGGGCGTGGCCGGGCCTGTCAAACGTTTGGCAAATTAATTTCAATTGTCTAATGCACACACACGCCGCTTATCTTTCACTTTATCTATTGTTGCGGCCGAGTGAAAATAAATTAACAATAAATAATTTTAATTATTTCATGAAGATGTCAAATTACACACGCCCTCGCCAAAAAGCCAGGCTCGCCACTTGGTTTTTTTTTTTATCTATTTTTTTCCCCATTTTTAAGCCTGGGACCGCAACTTGGCTTGATCTTTGCCACTTACGGACGGCTTTTGTGGCGGCTTGTGGCACAGCTGCGCGCTCTTTGTATTTATGATTATTTTCCATTTTATTTTATTTATTAAATTTGTGTGTTTGCCAAAGCCCCTGGCCGCGGGCACTTTTCGGGCAGCTCTAATAGGATTTGTTGCCAAATCGTAGGAGCTGTCCGCGTCGCTGACGTCCGACGTCATACAATTAAGCCCCCCTAACGGGTCAGGCCCCTAGTTAAATTTCTCTCACTGTTCAGCCCTATTTTTTTGGTTTTAATAGACAAGGAAGGGATAATTTTTTAAGTCTAAGTAATAAACTGCTAAATTTTTGAAAAGCTTTGCTCATATCTAATATTTATATCATACTTTTTTCCCTGAGCTTGGGGCATCGCATTAATTTCCATGGAAAGTATAAAAGAAGCTGCCAGCATCTGGGCTACCAACGATTTGTCAAATATGTTTCGGGCCATTAAACCAGTGGGATATGTTGCATTAGGAGTAAATCATATGGACTGAAGATCAGGTGTAGTCGAGAAATACCCTTTATCTTGGAAAAAGTTGAGAGATGATTTGAGAGATAGCCCAATGATCCCCACTTTTTCGTGATCCCTTATCTCCAAGCTAATATACCCCTGATGCAGTAATCCGGGGCACACATATGTGTGTATAAAAAACGATCGTAAAACGACGAACGACATCGGAAAACATAAATTTAAAATATGCCACAGCGATGACTCTGGCTGTTGCCCCTTTTTTTCTCATCTGCGTAATAAATCCGAATGCGGCGTGGATATAAACCATGCTTTATTTGTGTTATTGTGATTTATGGGCTTGCACATGCCGTGCTCTTTTGGAGTATGAAATTAATATTGAAAAGCTACTAAATCCAGACTTGTGCATAAATTAAAAGTTAAGTAGGTAGGCTGTTGTATCCCGCCCCGACTATTTTTGTAATCCACAACAAAGACTGAGAAACAGCTCACAAAACCGAAACAAAACAGCCAACATTTCTCGGCTTCTGGGGCGATTTTCTCGCATGTTTAACTCGTGATTTATGGGCATCAACAGCCCGGCGAATAAACACAAAATTTTTGCACATTTGCATTGCAATTTCAATGCATTTGACATCGTAAATATTTGCCAATGCATTAACTCGCCCCGCGATATATAAATAAATCCATATGCGCATGCGTGGCACGTAGTCGGTTCGATTGGCGATTTATTTATGAAGTCTAGACCCCTGATTTGGCGTACTTATAATTAGCATTCGGCCAAACCGAGCTATATATAGGTAGTGCCGCATAACGGTAGCCCGAGTTCTCTGAACCGGCGACTATATGTATATGAATCTAGTTATATATGTGGTACTGACCGCTGGCGACTGCCAGCTTAGCTAATTGAGGCCCGGCCGAGGCTTAATGTCAGCCAGTCCGTCACTTTAGCAGGGGCCAGCGAGCCATTGAGCCGGCTGGCAATCGATCAATCAGCCAATCAATAAGTCAATCATATGCACGGGCAATCGGCAGAGTGCATACAAATTGCCGCAATTGTCTATGGCATGGCTTCTCATAAGTGCATTACCAGCCATTGGAGTGGGAAAGTTTCGCTTTTCGTCGCCGATTGCTGTGAAGCAGCACATTCGATGGATTTAAATACGCATTCGTTTTGATGCCCGAGCCCAAGATCGGAGGAAAGTTTTCGGCCCAGGGCCAGGCAATCAAGGCGACATTAGCGCTCTGCCGATGGCTTTGCCAACCGAAGATAGAGATCCACTGGGAGAAAATAGATATCCTTTAGCTTAGTTTTTGAAGCCATTTTGGGTACATTTAATGGTTTTCATTATCCGAAAATAACTTTATTTGCTTGAATTAGATACTTCACAATTCAAAGTTCGTAAACATCATGAAAATAAAATTCCCACACGTTTTAAAAGTTTTTTCCCCATTTTAAATCTAACAAGCGTCGGAAATAATTTGATCTTTAAATAAGTTCAACTAAATTCTTTATAATTTTTAAGATCTTCATAGGGTGCTTTTTTTGCTTACACAAAAGCAAAAAAAATGAATTAATTTTTAAAATTGAAACACATTTGAAATTCAAACTGGTCTTTTCAGAACACTTTGTTTACACTTGTAGCGTATAAAATTTATATGCCACATATCATACATTGATCATCGTTTCATGTCAATATTTTTTTGGGTGCATTAGGAAATTAGTATGGCATCGCAGTCGATGTTTTTCGATGTGCATCCAAAGCTGGGGCTAAAGATAGAGCTAGTGCCAACCGGTCAGCCCGATTGCCTCGTACGGAGTCTATTAATGTTGCCCATTAACCTTTTAACCCCCTATTGCCAGACTGCAATGCGTGGTAATGACTCTCTTTCTCCGCTTTGTCTTTTGACTGTTTTTAGCCTCTTCACGCAAAAATGCGCAGAAGCTAAACTCTTTGTTTTTCGGCATTTTTTTTGCCTACCACTTGGCCATTTATTATTTGGCCAGTGCGCACTGCTTCCAGCCGAATTTGTTGCCAATTTGTAGCGCCACGAAGTTTGTCGTTCGTTCGGTTCGTCCAATTAATTTCCGCATTTCCCAGACAAACTTGGCAATTAATTTCAGCAGTTTGCATTTCTTCAACCTTGTTGGCCTGACCTTTTGGCTCAAGTGATTCACGCCAACGCCACACGTCAGCTTTTGGCTTTGGCATCGGTTTCAGTTTTAAGTTTTCAGTTTTGGCTTGGCCTAACGAGAATGGCCCGGCATCCTTTTTCCTTTTTTCTGTCTTTTTTTTCGGTTCCCTCTAAGTCGGCAATTAATCAAAGCGCCTTTGGCCACGACGGACAAATCCTTTTGTATGCACTCGCATTCGCTCGTATGTGGCGTATATGGCTAACGACTGACATCGCAAATGGCTAAAATGACAGCGGGCCGTGGTCGCGTCATGAGTCAGCCGATGGGCAACGGTAACATGGCCAATGCGTTTGCATCTTGCCTCTTTTTGGGCGGCTTCTCTCCTCCCACTCCCACTCCGGCCATCCGACTCCTGCCACCCCACTAACTTGGCTGACTGACAGACTCCGCTGACAGGCGATGCCAAAGGCCACAAAACGCAGGCCGGAGTGAAGTGATGGCTTTTTATTGAAATTAACTTGGTTGCCTATTTGTATATCCCGCTGAGTGCATAATAAGTTTGTCAAAAATTAAACAAACATGCTGGATAAATGCTAGGGAACTGGGTCCTTGCCCACTGGGGCTCTTAATATTTTTTAGGCGTAATAATTAAATGATGGTATAATGATTTAGGATTAGTGAATTTTTCAAATATTTCTTTAAATAATACGAAAATTATTTAGTCTCAAACTGACCTTATAAACAAATGATCATGTTCAGATCTTTATATTATGATCTTTGTATTCCCCCACTATTTTCTAGATTGTAAATAAAAAATCTAATTCACCATACAGCCTGCTTGATTTTCAAAACCCGAAATGCGCCCGGCAGCGTTTTGATTTCTCGATTCGAGTTCCAGTTTCAGGGACAAGGACAAGGACGCCTTGTGCAAATACTCGACTTGGCAAAATGTTTGCCGCGGCAATAATTGGCGGCATTATTGACGCTTTCCGATAGCCACTCAGCACTCAGTACTCAATGCGATTAGTTTGCGATCGAGGTGCCCGCCCCACCTGCAGCTGCTTCGATTGAACTTCAAATCGAAAAATTCAATTGTTGGCCGTGCGTGGTCGGGGTCTCTTTGGCAAAGGCCAAGTTAATGAAAATATCATTACAGTTTAGCCCAGAGCGTAACAATGAGCGCGGCCAGTAAAAACCGGGGCTTGGCTGGTTTATTGACACATGAAATATGATCGCTTCTTGTTATAGGGAGTGTGTGTATTTTGGTTTCCTTTTTTCTCTTATTTTATTTTGTCTGAGGTGCGTGCCAAGCGAGCATTATTCAAGCAGCGCTCAGCGAGTCGAAAAGCTTTGCGCGTGCGCGTCAAAAACGTCCAAGTTCCCTTCTCTCCCGCCAAAAAAAGAGACTCAACTCAACCAAAGATTAAGCGCAAAAGTGCGCAATCTTTGCACACAGCTCTGAGCGGCAGGCAAACTGCTGTCAATTTGACAAATGCGCCGGGCTCAGCGATTGTGACAGTTTTAGCGAAGCCGTAATTAAGCATGCGCGCACATGCATAAATAGCATAAATATTAAGCAAAAACAAAGCCAATTCACCCAAATGCACTCCTCTCGGCTGCCAGCAGGATGACAAATTGCCCGGCTGTTGCGCCGTTGGAATTTGCTTATCGCGTTTGCATTTGGTAATTAAAATAATGCACAGAAAGGTGTCAAGGACTTTCGACGCCGGGTGAATTTTAAAGAGTGGGCTTTTGGCAGCACGAAACAGCAGGTGGTGGCACGTTTGAGTCGGGCATGCGGGTCGCCACGGTGCGTATGCGCAATGTTGACGGTAAAAAGGCGATTTAACTGCTTTAATTTAATGGTGACTTGAAATAAAATAATGAAAGTTGGAAGAGGCTTGTTTATACTTAAAAGGATAGTTCGTAAATTTATCCAATATTATTCTAATTAATTTATTTTACTATTCTTCAAACAAAACGCTTTACTGTGACCTACAATTTAAAAAACATAAATATTTCCAAGCTGACAATTGGAACAGCCTTGGATTTATCTGGTTCCCTCATTAAGAATATCCGTAATTTTTGCTAACCCCCAATTATCCGACTGGCAATTATTTTTCAAACCTTGGCCCAGCCCTGTTCGAGTAGCTCACCGACAATAAATGTCAACATTTAGGCACGTTCAGCTGGATTCCTATTTGTGTACTATATATATTCATACTCACACCACCGGGCACGTATCTAAGCACGCGATCTGCACCGCAAAAGGCAAAACGGTTCAACATATTTGCATAATTTACCTGCAAAGAAACAACAGACACATAAATTATTTTATATTTCGCTGGCAAAAAGCAAAGGCTTTTTAAAACAAATCGCATGGTAATAATATTTAAAGTGCTGGCCACACCTCTTGCAATAAATTGTATACATTTTGCCGTCGCACACATAATAATTAAATGCACTAAAAAATGAATTAAATGCAAGGCATCGATGAACTGCCACGAGATGCGGAATCGAAAACGAAATCGAAATCGAGAGACGACGTCTGCACTGCCGGCAACTTCATTGATAAATAAACGGGAAAAATGCTTTTTCCCGAATAAAAATCGAAAAAAGAAAAGATACAAAAACCCACCCGAAAAATCTGAAATATATGTACGCCCTATGGCGGGGCAGCTTGCTGCACGATGCTTCCTGCACAATATGCAACAATTTGTTGCACGTCCGGATGTTTACAACAAAATAAACAACATATCGCGCATGCATTCAATTCACATCAATATCAAAATCGGATTCGAATTTGAATTCGCATTTGACTGCATGGATAACTCGTTACGGTTTTGTTTACACAGCCCGATCAAAGTCGCCAGTGGATTTATTATATAATCACTGGCAGACCCGGCCATAATTGGGCGCAATCAATCAGTCGATGGGTGATTGCTGATCCGATCGATTGAACCCGATGAGCCGCTAATCTGCCAGTTGACCCACATCCCACATCCAGAGCGGAGTCGAATAGCTTCTCTGAGTAACTTTGAGTACCCACCCAGTAGGCAGTGCAGGTGAATGCACCCGCTTTTTTTTGTTTACTAATGATCGCCACAATGCAGTACCGCTAGAAGCATTTTCCCGAGTGCCTCGATCTGTTTGAAGAGCCGTAATTGTTCTCTAAATTATTGGGCGAATGGTCTTCGGAGGGCTTGTCGCCAGCGATGTCTGTCTGCCTGTTTGTGGCTTTTTATGTCTGTCTGCGGCTTTGGGGTCGTCATAATGAGGTGCCAAACGTAAATATGAACAAGAGATTTTTCCACATGCCCGACACATTTTCGTGCTCCCCCTTTTGACAGCGACAAATGCTGGGTTCTTTGATGAGATTTTGGAAATCTCAATCCCCCAAGGTGTTCAACACACTCGGAAAAATTTTAAATAACCTTTTGGAAAAATATTTGAAATACTGCGAAACCGGATTCACATCGTAAAAAGTAAAGTTATCATATTGACATGTTTTTTAGAAGGCAAATTTAAATGTTATTAATTTTTAGATTAGGGCAAAAAAACGTTATGTTGATAAATTAATAAAGTAAATAAATTAAAGTATTAATATCACATTTTTTCTATTCTTTTGTGTGTTCCCAGTGAGCCGCCTAGGTAATGCAATGTGGTTAACCCTCTGAGGCCGTTACTCATTCTTGTCTCTATCGCCGCGCAAAAAAACAAACACAGCTGCTGGGCCCATTGAAGCTCACAATTGTTTAGACACAGTTGCCCCAAAAAAAAAAAAAATGAAAAACGAAACTGAAACAATTTACAATAAATATGGGATGGGAAAAACATTTGGCATGACTGAAAATTGGGGACGCCTCAATGCTCAGTGATCAGTGCTCCCAATACCCAATTTGTTTATTCCATTTGATCTTTTTCTGATCGAAATTTGTTGTTTTTGGGCAAAAGCGCAGTCTGCTGATAGAATTGTAACAACTGTCGCGGCATAAATAAAGCTATTATGATTTATGCCGACCAGACGATTACGAAACTCGTTAGAATGCCGCAGCCACGGGCCAATGGAAAAGAAGGCAGACTGTGGATTATTTGCATGTCTAGCGCCAATAATTCTAAGGCGTGCGCTCTGATGATACTCCAAGTGGTTGGCGGCACCACCGCTGCTGCTCTGCACCACCACCTTGCTGCCCGCCTGCACCACCGCTCAGATTTCGACGTTTTGATATGGCGTGAGGCTATATTGGCAATCTTCTGTGGGCCCATCCATCGGCTCTGATTGTGAATGTGCGTGGAATTGTTAGTATCTGCGATTGCAATTGCAATTAAAAGAAAGCAGGTATCGCGGGGATTTCGGGGGGCTTTTCCTTCTCGAGAGGACAGACAAACGTATACGTGCATACCAGCTGCAAATGCAATCTGCGAGCATGGCTTTTGTGCATGTAAGCGGCACTTCTTATAAGCATCGCTTATCAAGCTGCACCGCCTTGTAGAGGCCGTTGTAGCTGCAGCGGTTGTTGCTGTTGTCATTGGCAGATGCAACATTCGATTGGCAAGAGGCAGCACGCAGAAATTAAAAAGGTATAGGTATATGAAAAGAAAGAGCTGATTCGGTAACCGAAATTGGAAATACCCTTAAAGGATTCTAGAGAAATAGATGTGATTATATTTTGTATGTATGTTCTTGATCAGCATCACTAAACGAGTCGATCTAGCCATTTCCGTCTGTTAGTCTTATTTCCGTTTCAATCTATATAAGTCGCAACCAGCCTGATCGGACAACTATATCATATAGCTTCCATAGGAAGGATCGAACAAAAAATGAAAAAATAAAACTTCGATGTTTTTTCACATAATTCTTTATACTCCTGGGAATATTTCTTTCTAAATACTTCTGCATTTGAATTCAGAGGAACGATCTGAAATTTAATGGGAAATTGTAGTTCCGTTGGTTTTTATTGTATTCTCTTCTACTCTACGACTATATTTTATAACCGCCATAATGCCATTTATGTCAATATTAATGTTTAGTAGTTAGCTTCCTTTCCTGTTTTTATTGATTTTTTTCTGATAAATTGCATAATATTTTTTATTATTTTATAATCCAAATAGTAAACTTCTGAGCCAAGAACGGATACCCCTGGCCAGGCTGTGAGTGAAAACCAACGCACGCCCAGGCCCAGCAAGTGAAAATCAGAGTGAGTCATGTAGTTGTAGACTCTGACTCAAACGGCGAACGAGAACGGCCCACAGACAAAAGCCTCATTAGGCGGGGTCTCTAGATCTACAGCGATGGTCGATGGTCTGGAGGGTCGGGACTTGGGACTCGGGACTGGAGACTCGGGTCTGCGATCGTTTCAATTTCAGTTTCAGCGTTGGCGTTGAAAGCGCGTCGAGCACTCCTCTTTAACTACATAGTTACAGTCATTGCAGGATCCGCACGATCATCATTATCGTCATCATCATGTTGCGCCCATAAAGCGAATTATGCCATTTGCGTAAATTATTGTCAAGTGGCCCCGGCACACTAAATCATAGAGATGCCAGGCTCCTGATGCCTGTTGCCCCATACTGGCGATGTTTTTCACGCCAATCAAATGGTTATGGCCATGGCTCTCTTACTCCAGGGAAGAAGTGAAATCAAGAGTTCAGCGGAGGTGACCCACAAAATGTGGTTAACGATATCTCTCCGAAATTCATATTTATTTTTGCCATGGCCTATTAAAATATACAACTTTATAACTTGTTCCACTTTTGGCATGCCTCGTGTTCTCGGGACGCAGCAGCGGTGGCTCCTCCGAACTTTCTTATTAAGAATTATATATGCAGCCGTAATGAAAAGCCATAAAAAATGATACTTATAAGAGGAGCTCGTCGCTGCTCTCCCTATTGCACATTTGCCATATGCATATGCAGAGCTCGGCGAAAGAATTTGACCCAGAAATGGAAGTTGCAGTTGCAGTAACGCGGAAGTGGTTCTTTTTTTACTGCCGAATGCTGCGGCTTCTGATGCCGAACATCTCGGCTGCCTTTCAGCGGGTATAAATAAGTTTAATGACTCAATTTGTAATGAGAAATGTGGGCTGTTTGTTTGCCCTGATCGCCCGAAGATTGCACTCGTAAGCTCCACTTGCGGGCTTTGCAATAATTCTGCTTAAATTGAAGGCATCGCGCTGCTGTGTTGGTTTTAATCAAAGGACCATTCAGAGGCGGCCATTCGGTTCCACTTAAATTTAAATAAATTACATAATTTAACGTTTCTTTGCACCCCGAGAAGGAGAGTTCTTTGTTCTGGCCTGAAAAAAATGCCCAAAATTATGCAAATTCATTTCGATTCCCTGGCGTTGACATCACCCTTAAAAACAGGTTCATAAATTGCGTAGCATTAATTTGAAATTCCCCTCTGTTTAAGTTTTATTTGCCTTATTCGGTAGGTACAGCGAAATCCACTTGATTGCAAATTGTAATACAAACACAAGCCGAATTCTTTTACTTTTAACGGCGAAAAATTGTACAAAAATTTATGACAGTAGTGTCAATGGGCCGTAGCACATAAATGCTGTTAATTAACATTTATTGTTTGCTGATACTACACAATACAAAAAATACGAAAAATAAAAAATATGAGAAATAGCTAAGAGAACAACAAAAGGGGCCTTTCTGGTCATAAAACGGCATTCAATTTGCTGGCCATAAAATTTTATGAAGGTTTGTATATTTTTTCGCATTGTTTGCTATTGAAATTGGAACTCGAGCGAGTTAGTCAGTCGTGGGCGATTTGCTAGGAGTGATGTTAGGCACTAAAAGATTTGCCTTATGAAATGCAAAGTGGAAACAAAGAAGTTGGGGCTGAAACTATTTTTCCGTTCAGCTGATAAGTGGAGCGACTCTGGCCGCTCTAATCAGTAAAATAAAGTCTGGCGACTGGTAATTAACCCAGTGCATTTCTGACCGCATACAAATTTTTATTTTTATGGCTCACAGAACCATTTAAAGGACTGACAAACCAAATTGATATGATTGGGGCAATGGATGATGGTATGCCTGGGCCTTTGTCTTTGTCTTGTAAACAAACTAATTAAAACTGACACTGACGGCGGATGGCGGATGACAATTTACGCAGCTGTCTGGGAAAAGAAGGGAGTGCTAAGCTGGCTTTCCTCCCTTTGTTGCCGATTGCCTAATTGAAATGTTGCACGCACAATTGCCCGGGCTCTGACTCCAGTGGCTGCACTTCAAAGATGCGACATTCAAATGGGAGTTGAAATAAAAATAAAAATGGAAATGCAATTCAAGCAATTAT